CAGCCGTGATGGGCTCAGTGACCCCACCAGGACACTGTTCTCCCAACCTGGACACTTCTGGCACACCCCGTCTGCTCAGGTCTCGGGGGAAAGGGGCTGAGTCAGGGAAAAGAGCAGAGCCCACGCGCTCGCCTTGGGCCAGACCCTGGGATGCTGTGGTGGCCATTGCCACAGTGACCCCTCCACAAGGTGGCCCTGCTCATGTAGATTCTGATGTCCCCGGTGCCACCTGAGGCAGACTGGGCTGGGGAGACAGCCAGACTTGGGGACCAGCTGTCTCCAGTACTGACCAGCATCCACGCCACCCAGCATGTGAGCCGGGCGCACCCCATCTGCTTTGGGGACACACTTCCATGCCCAGGAAGAGGCCGCTGCAGACCCACAGCCAGCTGCTCCACATGCAGTCGCCCCAGCAGGTCCGGGGTTCTGGGAGGAGATTTCTCCTCGTGGCAGGGCCTCAGGCAGGGGCGGTGCAGCAAACCCTAAGGCTGAGTGAGGGTCACAGGCCCTCCTCTTGGCTCGGGGGTCCAGGTGACTGAATTTGTGGGTGTGAAGGAGCCCCGAGTCCCTAGCGCTGGATCTGGAGGAACCAGCCCCGGTGTCAGGCAATGCCAGCCCCAGGAGCCTGGTGTCCTGCAGAGTGGGCACATGAGGTGGCGGTGGTGTCCCTGCCGTCCAGCTGGGACAGGAGCAGCCGGGAGGGCTGGTGCCAGTGACTGTGAATGGTCTGTGCTGTTGGCCGAGTCAGTGGCGGGGTGAGGGCACTCTGAGGTGCACCCTGAGGTGTGGGAACCACCAGGCAGGGGCAGAAGGAGCCGGGTGGTCAGTGCTGGGGGCTGAAGGATGGCACTGGGGTCCCGGGCCGGGCTTGGGATGGAGAGCCCAGTAGACTACAGCCCGAGACCAGGAAGGTTAGGCCACAGCTGTGGACCCAAGGGTGGCCCAGCGGGAAGTGTAGGTTGTGTCCAGCTTGAGGACCTGTCCCTACCGAGGAGGTGCCCAGATAGGGCTGCATGTGGGAAGCCTGCTGACCTGCTCACCAGGCGCTGAGTGAGGACAGAGGTGCCCTGGCTTCCTGGGTGCACTGGCTGATGGTCAGCTGGTGAGGGAGCTAGTGCCACCCCGAGAGGTAGCTGTGCCCCGTCTGCCAGCCGGGAGAGGTGCGTTTATGTGTGCTTTTACCGTAATGGAATACCTGTTCCATTACAGTGGGGGAGAAAGGCTGGGCCTGGGGGGATGCAGGTGGCAATGGCAGGCGCAAACCATCTACCTCCTGTGCCGGGAGTCCCCTGCCGGCAGGTGCTCCCTGGGACCAGGCCTTCCACACAGTGGTGTAGGGGGCACCTTCCCGCGCACACACCCGCTGCCAGCTGTCACCAGCATTTCTCTGGCTGCTAGCGGAACTCAGCAGATGCGGGGAAATTGGAAGTTGTCTTTGACTTTTACAGCCCTTTCCTGCCCCTATTAAGATGCTTAGCGCTGTAAATGCAGTCATCAGGAGCTCATTTATCCCCGAAAAAGTGTGGCTATAAACCACTCACTGGTGAAACGCTCTCCGACAGGATTGTTTCTGCCGTACTGATAAATTCCAGTGCCGAGCAGAAAGGTCAGCCCTTGCCAAATAAAATGTCTTTTCAGCTCGTTAATGAGAGGTTTATAAGGACGGGAGGAACGTGCTTGGGGGCAGAGTGAGGAGCCCCAGAAGCTGGGTGAGCTCTGTGGGGAGCGCCTCGGTGTTCTGGGGAGAAACCACCACGGTCAGAGGGGATGCGGGACCCAGGGAGGTGCCTTGGTCCGCACCTCCGTCCCTGGGGCTGTGGGCCTGGTAGCTGAAAACCCCTTCTTCCCTAAGACCTGGCTCAAGGGGACCCCGTGCTCGGACGTGCCCCATCTTGATGCCCTTTCGCATCTGAGTATAGCGGCCTCCCGAGGCGTGGCAGGGCTGTGGTCCCTGCTCCCAGAGCGGTCGACATCCCCTGAGGTCTGTGTGTGGCAAACGCCTGGCAGTTGCAGCTGCTGGAGCAGAAATCTCATGGTCAGCAGTGTGAGCAGCAAACCTTTGCAGCCTGGGAGGGACAAGGCAAGGTGCCAGGTGATTCGCTGCCAGGTAAGGGCCCTCTGCAGGTGGCCCCTCCGGGTCCTCGCATGGCAGAGGCAGGTAGAGAGCAAAGAAGCTGGTTCTGTCCTTGTAAGGTCACTGAAAAGCCCACCAAAGGCCCCAGCTCCAAATTCCTTCGCACAGGGACTGGGATTTCAGCACAGGCATGGAGGGGCGCAGATCCTCAGTCCATAGCAGGAAATGGGGAAGTTTCTCAGGGGCCACCACGCTGCCTTCAGAGGTGACCATGCCTCTGCGTACTGGCCGGCTCTCGGTTTGGTCCACCTTATCCTAGCTGTCCATGGAGGTGTGTGGCAGTGTCCTGGGGGTAACAACACTGCAGGTGAGTGTCGAGAGTGACATTGTACCTCGTTAGCATCGCCCAGTGTCCCCCCTATTTGTGCACCGCAGCGCTAGGCTGTCTGCGCCATCTGTCCCTGCGTGACTTGGTCCACGTCCTCTTGGCACAATTTTCTCACCCTCAGGAGGGGCCTTTGTTGAAGTTCTTTTACTGGTTGAACTTTTTAATTTCATGAAATTTTACTTATTTGTTCGTGTATGAATTACACGTTTGTTACTGTGATTGTGTCTCACTCACCCAAGCCCAAAAACTTTGCCTTACCTATTCTAGAAATGTTTTAGTTTTTGTCTCTACACTTAGGTCTCTGGTCAGTTTGGTGTAGCTTGGCATAACTGATGCCATCTTGAGCCCTGCATTTAACTAGGACTCTGTTTTGATCCCGTAAAAATAGAAAATTACTCAGGGTATAAGTCCCAATGAGAAAAGCAGGATACAGGTGTCAACCAAAAATTAATGCAAGATTCTAGCTAAATTGTTTCCAACAGAATGTCTTCTGTGGTTTTTTAAAACTATAATTTTCCAGTTTGGGGCCACTTGTTTGGACTCTGAAACAGGGGGAGTGTCTGTATATGAGTGGTCCTGAGCTCAGCCAATTAAATTCCAAATTTATTAATTTGGCTGCTTAGATTCCTATATTGTTCATGAACTCACCTCAAATTTTATTATTTTGAAAAATATGGATGGTGGTGTGGACTGAGATTTACATTTAGAATGTGGGGATCTGCTTGTTTAACACCGTTTATAAAGAGACTGCCCTTTCCCTATACACGGTGACACTCGGTATTGTTCATACCTGTTTCAGGTTGCTTTGCTTATTCTAGGGTCTGTATTCCACGTGTGCTTTTAAATTATCTTACTGATTTCCACAAGGAAAGCAAGTCCTGCTGAGTGTGATGGGGGAGTGTTAGGTCCACAGCTCCACTCAGGGAGAACCGACATCTTCCTGTCGAGACATCTGCTCCAGGGTTATAGTATATCTTCTTTAGTTCAGCTCCTTTAAATTTTCTGTCAATGGTATTTTAAGTTTATGGGTCTTATACACTTGCTGTCAGATAGATCCCTGAATATTTCTTATTGTTAATTTTCGTGCTGTTGTAACGGGGCTTAGACATTCTTAAATTGTTGAGTGTCAGCAGTTAGCATCGTATACCATTCCTATATCCAGCAACCTTGTAAAGCTTAAACTGGTTTTAGCTTTTCTTTTTTGCATCTACTGAGGTAAATGTCTGATTTTTCTCCTTTGGTATGGCCTTGCAGATAATTGTATTGACTGATTATTGAGCAGTGAAGCAGTCCTGTACCCCTGGGGTACTGACTTGTTTGTGATATAGTCTGCTTTGGATTAGCGTTGGGTTGATTTGCTAACTTTGCTGTCAAGAGTGTTTGCATCTGAGTTTAAAAGGGAATCTCGCTGGTCACTGTGGCCACTGACAGCTTCGCTGACCCTGGGTGAGAGGCGCCCCTGCCCCATATCCCCAGGCTTGTTGGGTGTGGACATGGCCCTGGAGAACTGCTTCTGCTTTGGAATTGTGCATATTGGAAGGAGGCTTCAGACCAGTGAGCACCCCAAACGTATCCCTTTCTGTGGGCCTGGAGTCTGGGGGTCACCTCTTACCTCCTCCCTCCCCAGTGACCGCCATGCTGCTGTTGTGATGGTCCCATCATGCACTGGGGCATCCCCTTGTGGGTGATGCTGGGATCTGAGGGACGTGTAGGTCACACTCAGGGCACGCCCCTACCAGGAGCCCCATGCAGTGTCAGGGGCCTAAAAAGTGCTCCCACATTTTGACCCATTCATCCCTGTTTTGGGGCTCTTTCCTTGGGAAACACCCTGAGATGTGGCGCCCATGGAGATATGGATGGCAGCATTGTTTATCAACTGGAAAAGAAGGGGGTAAGGCTTCACTCCACGGCCGGGGAGTGTGTGTGTGTGTGTGTGTGTGTGTGTGTGTGTGTGTGTGTGTAACGAGCTAGTAAATACTGTCATGCTAGTCACATCAGAGTCCTCATCTGTCAGGGGACAATGATGGAGATTATAGGACAATGGAAAACCTCCCAGATTCCTAAGTAGAAGTGGAAAAGTGGGTTACAGAACCTGTCTGACTGCGCAGGACTCTACCGAAGCAAGCTAGTGTGATGGTTTTCTGGGTGGTACCATTCTTTCTCTTTCCCTTCAAAACTTCTTGAATGAAGGTAGATTACTTTGTGATTTATAAAAAGGCCCATAAGAAGCTGGGCACAGTGGCACACGCCTTTTATCCTGACACTGGGTGCCTAAGCGGGGAGGATGGCAAGTTCGAGGCCAGCCTGGGCAACTTGGAAATTTCAACAGCCTTGTCTCAAGATAAAAAATAAAAGGGCTGAGACCGCAGTGCAGTGTGAAGGCCCGAGTTCAATGCTTACCCTTGCAAAAAAAGAAAGGGACGGGAAAGAGAGGGCAGGCTGCCGTCTCCGGGATGGCCCTCTGCAGGAGGCCCTCCTGGACGGGCCGAGGCCGCCCTGGCTCTGTGTCCCAGCTCAGTGTCCCTCTCCGCCTTGCAGGCTTTGGGAAGCATCACTGCAGTGCCTGTCACGGGTCCTCAGGTCAGCTCCTTGCAGAGGTTGGCGGGACAAGGAGCGGCCGTGCTACCTCAGGTAAGCGACCCCCGGGTGTCCCGTCTGTCCCCTGCTCTCAGTGCTCGAGCTGGGTCCCTCCCCCAGGCAGCAGCCTCCTCTGCCATGCAGCAGCCCGCACCTTCCGATGGGCTTTATGAGGGAGGAATCTGGGTGCTGGAACAGTGAGAAAGCTCGAGGCCAGCCCGGTGGCCATGAGTAGAATTTCTGCTCGGATGGGATGAGCTGGACCAGACTGGGTAGACGACCTGGCAGCCAGGCACAACCGAGCCCCGTTTCTCAGACGCTGTGTTGCTGAGCTGGGACACAAATGTTGTGTCTGTTTTTGACCCTGGATCACAGCCCCGTGTGTGTAAGGAACTCAGGTTCCTTAGACCCACCTGGGCGGCTCCCCGAGCCTGTACAATCTGGAGTCAAAGCCCTGCCCACTGGAGTCCTGCGTTGCAGTTCCAGGGTCCGTCCTGCACACACCTCTGACCCTCCACCTGCCCTTCTCCTCAGGTTAGGCCAAAGACTCTGATTCCAGACAGCCTCCCCGTCGCCCCGGGCAGGGACCGGCCACCCAAGCAGCCCCCGACGTTCCAGAAGGGCACCGTGGTCAGCATCAAGAACCCAAGCCCGGCCCTCCCCACCGCCAACAACACCGTCAGCCATGTGCCAACGCCCGGCAGCCAGCCCCAGGCCCTCGCCGAGCCCAGCGCCATCGCCTCGCCCCTGAGCGGCGCCGGGGTGGCCTACGCCATCATCTCCACCTCCTCTAGCAATGCCGCCGCCATCGCCCCCAGCTCCGCCGTGCCCATGGTCAGTGATGGCATCAAGGTGCAGCCCCTCCTCCTCAGTGCCGACAGCAAGGTGAGTGAATGGGCCTGGCCGGGCGGGATAGGTGGGCGGGATGGGCGTGCTGAGCTTGGCCTGCACTTGGGCATCTGGGTGAGTGTGAAGACCTCCGGGCAGGAGTTAACACCAGTGGCCCGAGGCTGAGTCAGGCCCTCCACGTGGAGCCAGGAGGTGACAAAGGGGGGTCCTGCGCCCCTCTGCCGTCTCCACAGCTGGCTCATGCTTCACACCCAGGGAATTCCTGGGCTTCTCTGTTGCCAATGTTTATTTTTTAATTTTATTTTAGTTATTTTTGTCTTTTTGAGACAGGGTCTCACTATACAGTTCAGGCTGGCTTTGAGCTCACTTTGTAGCCCAGGCTGGTTTTGAACTCACAGTGATCCTCCTGCCTCAGCCTCCCAAATGCTGGAATTACAGGCATGAGCCACCACACTTGGCTTTGCCAAGGTTTAAATCAGAAGCTAAAATCTTCTCCCTGTCCCCCACTGATTCCTTTCCAGGCTGTTGGGGTCCTGTGGCTGCTGGCAGTTCCCCTCTGTGGCCTCAGTTTCCCCAGCCCAGATGTTGGGGCTTCACAACCCCCCAATGGCAGTACCCGAAGGGATTCCCAAAGCTCGTGGGGTCATCCTGGGTCAGGGACAGAAGGCAGGTGCCCCAGATGGTGCCTGATGGAACGGGGTGTCCCTGGCTGTACCCGAGTCACTGCAGGCCTGCCGTTTATTCCTTAGGCGTGGAGAGGCCGCTGCGCACTGGGCTTTCCCTCCGCCTGCTCCCCAGTGGGCTCTGTGCCTGGCTCCAGGAGGTTTGGGACCCTTTATACTGGTGAAGAACTTCATGTCTTTCTTCTCAGGAGCATGAAAGAAGAGCATTTGGCTTTTTCTACAGAGTTTGACGTTTGAAAATGTCAAATGCGTTTGACGCAAAGAGCAGAGCACTTCCCCTAAGCCAGCAGAGAATAGCCCGGCTGGCTGCTCCTGGTGACCGGCTCTTCCTGGGGGCATGAAAAATAGCAATCCCTTCCCAACGCCTTGTCCGGAATACAGAAATGATACAGTGGAGGTGCAGGACGGGGAGAGATGGCTTCATCACCTCCGGCATCCTGCTCTGGGGCAGGCCTGGGGGGAGAGACCCAGTCCCTCTGCCCCCTGACCCGACAGGCTCAAGCAAGGAACGCATCTGAGTCTTTTACCTCAGTTTACCTGCATTTGTGCTGGGGGTAACAAGACCAGCCCACCTGGCAGTTGGCATTGGTGTGGTTCAGGCGCTGAGGAGGCCGAGGTTCGATGAGGCAGGGGGACCTCCTGAGCCCACACAATGGGAAAATGGGGCGCTGGATTTGAATTCAGGACTTCTTGCTCCGCAGACCCGGCCCATCTGGTAGATGCTCACAGAGTAGGAAGGGCAGGAGAGAGGCGCAGCTCTGGTCACTTCGGGTACTGCTCATGCTGCGCCTGTGCCCGCCCTCACCCCTCACTGCCTCCCCAGGTCATCATCATCCAGCCTCAAGTGCAGACACAGCCCGAGAGCTCAGCGGAGCCCCGGCCACCCACGGAGGAGCCATCTCAGGGAGCTCAGGCCTCCAAAAGGAAGAAGGAGGACCCAGCCCCGAGCCAGGAGAGCCCCGAGGTAGGCAGCCCCTGCTCGGGGCCCAGGCTGTGGGTTGGGCTCAGTGCGAGGCATCGCTGGGCTATGGAGCGGTCCTGCATGGTGCAGGGGCAGCTGTCCTCTGAGACTCACCCAGTGAGCCAGCTCTCAGCTGCACAGCCCAGGGATGAGCTGGTGTCGTGACCGTGTGGAGCAGTGGTCAGCGCAGTGTCCAGTAGGACATCTGTAAAGGAGCAGCAAGGCCTCCTTTGAGAGGGGCCCAAATCAGGGGTGTGGTCCCCTTCCTCAGGACCCCCGGCCCCGGGAAACTGCAGTGCCTCGCTGCACATGGCCCTCACGAAGCCCTGTCTATTCTCTGCTGTGACCAGAGCAGGTCTCTGGGCCCCTCAGAAGTCAGCTCCCCTCTTAGGCAGCTCTCCCTCAGGGACCCAAAGGTTTCCCCAGAAACCATGCGTAGCCCCACCTCTCCAGCGCCCCTGCAAGAAGGTGGACAGCGGCTTTTGGTGCTGTGGTGACACCCACCAAAGGCCCCGTGGTTGGAGGCAGTGGCAGCTCAGGGGCTCTGGCCACACCGGGTGGCTGTCCCAGTGCAATGGGTGATGGCCTTGGATGACGTCCCCTGTTGTCCAGGCCCAGGCAGCCTGCTGTCCCCGTCCCAGGCCTCTCCCGCCCTCCTCTGCCCTGTGCTCACCGTGCCCCAGCTCCTGTGCCCCTGCCCGTTCTGTCAGGGTGCACACGCGTCCTCCTGCCAGCCTCTGTGATGGGGCGGATGTGGTCCTCGTCCTGGGGACGCTCACTGCTGTGAGTGGTAGGCAGCCGTGGGGGACCACAGCGTGGGCTGCACATGTCCGGTGTAGCAGAGGCCGAGGGGAAGGGTCCTGTGTCAGCTGTCATGCGGGGAAGTCAGCTGGCCTGTCCGACCACAGGGGCAAATGTGTGCAGAACCGCTAGGCCCCCCATTCAGGCAGATGTGGAGCCTGATCTCGGAAGACTGGATACAGACGGCCAGGCTGGGACCTTGTTCCTTAGGTGATGGGGGCCCCGGGATGCCCTCAGGCAGGGGCGTGGCTTAGAGATCATCCTTGGCATGTGTGCCAATGCAGCCACAGTGTGAAGGTGTCTCCTCCGCCGCCCCAGCCCCACTTCCCTCCCGAGAGATGGTGTGTTCCCCAGAGAGGGCGGTTCCTGAACCCTGCTGTGTGCCTGGGAAACCCCGTGCGGTTCGCTGTGCCCTGCTGTCCCTCCCCGAGGTTGAGCTGCACCCCGGCCTCTGAGTGAATTCCCTCTGTGTATCTTGGTCGATTATGTGCATTTTTACAATTAGTGTAATTACGTCTAAGTGCATAATTAGCATAAATACAGTCATGACTTCCACAGAACTTGTAGCTACAACCCGTCCTGGCGTAAACGCTTTTGTTAAAATTCTCCTGAAAGGGGGCGGAGGAGAGGTGCACACAGACTGCTCGGTGAGGACCCCGTTAGAGAGGCGACTTCCTGATGCTGGCAGCCGGGCCGCAGCGCCCGGAAGTCTCTCTGGATGAGCCAGGCGGGAGCTCGGGGTTGCTGGGAGACGCTGGTTTTGGTATCGAAATGAAAATTGCATCTGGAGGCTTCCGGTGCTGGAGCCCGCTCCTCTGCACGGGCTGCTGAGACAGCTGGAATGGCACAGGAAATGGTGCAGCAGAAAAGAAAGTGTGTCGGGTTTGCTGGTGCCTCGGGGCAGTGCCCGGGCCCCGGCGGGGTATTTCTGCAGCCAAGCCTGGCGGGCTCTAAGAAAGCCTCTTCCAGGTGGCATGCTCCTCCCAGTTCACCAGTGCTGAGCTGGTGACACCGAGAGCCACCTGCCCTGAGCACATCGGGACAGCTCCCAGGATGGCCAGGAGCCGCCGTCCCCCGAGGCTGGAAGGGTTCCCCAGGCTGCCGGGGGCTGCTGGTGTCCCCAGCCCAGGGTGGTGAGCACTGGAGGAGCCACGGTTTGCCAAGCCACGGTTTCTGTCCAGTTGAGCAAGATGGTGACATCTTGGAAACCTCTGTGGGGCCTCCGCTCTTAGGACCCTGAAACGGAGTGGACAGTAGTGACTGCTGTCAGCAGGTTCAGCCCAGGTCTGATCCCTGTCCTTTGAGGGTCTAAGAATCTGCCCCAGCCAGTGACAGAAGTTGAGGCCATCGGAGCTGGGGCTGCAGCCAGGCCTTCTGAGCCAAAGCCTGTAGTCCCTGCCCGCAGCTGCAGGGCTGGAGCAGTCACCTCCTCCACCTCTGACCGCATCAGCCCCTAGGAACCCCGTCCTGAGCTTCCACTCCCTGCTCCCAGCCCTTCCGAATGAAGATGCCTGGTGTGCAAGGCTGAGTCCCCATTTGCTGCCTGCCTGGGGCTGGAAGGCTGGGCCTCTCCCCGCTTCCTGGAGCTGAAAGATACAGGAAGCATCCCAGGAAGAGGGCAGCTGGGCTCTGACGCCACAGGAGAGTCCGTGAAGTCCCTGCCCGGCCCATTTAGCCAGGCGACCCAGAAGCGATTGATGAACCAGGTGGTAGTGAGTGGCAGGGAGCGGCCTCTGGGGTGCAGGAGCCAGGACGTGACCCTGTCCCGTGGCACCCTCGGTCCTGCCCACGATGGATGGTGGCCAGCAGCCGAGGGCAAACCAGGGAGGCCTCTCCTGGGGCCAGGAGCAAGAGCTGAGGGGCGTCGGCCGGGAAACACCACGCGTACAGCTCGCCGGCCCTGGGAGAGGCAGGACTAACAGGTCATGCTAGGTCCCCTGCGCTGAGCCCTGTGCAGGTGGGTGACGGGAGTGTGCGGAGAACAAAGTCCAGGAATTCCAAACCCCAGGGACAGAGCTGCTGCCAGGAGGCGGAGGAGCGGGGGTACGGGGTGGGCAGGAGAGAGCTGCAGCTCGCTGTTGGGTTTGGGGGTTCGTGCTTGTTAGTGGGTGCATAGGCAGTCAGTTTAGTGTTAAACAAACAAATGGTAACACAGAGCTGGACGGGACCTGCAGAGTGGTGGACTCTGGGGGCGTGCTCCGAGGGCACCCTCTCACTGGGCCCGTGGGCAGCCTTGGGGGAACCTGGTTGCCCAACATTTCCGGGGCTATTTCCTGGCGTCTGGAGCCTTGGCCCCGCAGCCACCTCGGGCCACGCCTGGCGTGTGTCCTGTTGGGACAGTCAGAGGCCACGCTGATCCCACCCTTTCTTCTGCAGAAAATCGCTTTCATGGTAGCGCTCGGCCTGGTCACCACGGAGCACCTGGAAGGTAAGGGCGGGTGCTGGCCGGGCCGGGCCGGTGCCTCGGGCGGAAGCAGCTGGTGTGGGGAGACCTGGTCGGGTGTTGCGGGTTGGTGTCTTCCTGGGAGCTGTGTCAGTCAAGGGGCACTGCAGGGTGGGTGACTGCCGCCAGAGACAGGCGGGACAGAGAGGCCCTCCAGCTCTCTGTGCTCTGGGGCTGCGCAGATCCCCTGTCTTGGGCCATTTCTTGTTTCCATGAAGGGGACTTATGGGTCCCATCCCCACCCTGGGGACCACACGGTAAAGTGACAGGAATCAGCTGCCCTTCCAGTTCTGTCCCTGACTGAGAGCTGGAGTTTCCTTGCATCCTTTTGCCTCAATCTGTTGATCTGTAAAATGGGATTGTGGAGCCGTACTCTTGGTATAAAGTGCCAAGAGCCCCACACTGCTCCCAGCTGGGCACCGTGTGGTATTAGTGAGTGGACCTGGCCTGTGGACCTCAGACCACACCACATACTGAGGAATGGAAACATGGTTTGTGTGGGTAGAGAGACCAGTGTGACTGCAGGTACCATGTGACTTACTAGTGATAGTGGGTACCAGGCAGCACAGGCCCAGCCTCATTCACGTGGGGGGAAGGAAGCCAAGGCCAGAGACACTCATTCACCTGTCCAAGGTCACACGGCCCAGGATGTCAGTCTGAGGCTGGAACTCTGCTCTCCCGACTCCCACAGCGCCCCCGCCCTGCTGAAGATGTTTCATAGTGCGAACACCCAGGTGCCCTGCGTGCAGGAGCTAGATGATTTACCTTTCCCCCTTAAACCAGAACAGAGCCGAGCACAGTGGTGCACGCCTGTCTCCCCAGACTCTGGGACAGTGAGCGAGAGGATTGCAAGTTAAATCTGTACTGAGCAGCTGGCAAGACCTTGTCTCAAAACATGAAAGGGCCCGGGCTGCAGCTCAGTGTGACGGCCTGGGTTCTACCCTCGGTAGCACAAAACTTAAGTAAAACAAAGTGGAACAGAAAGGCATACACTGAGCCCGCCGCGCCCAGCGAGCCTGCAGACCAGCGTGAGGTCAGGTGAAAAACGTGTGGGAAGGTGGGGGCCAGCCAAGGCCACACAGCTCTGAGCAGCACCCCGACCCCGAGCTCAGCTGAGGCCAGCGTGCTGGGGACGGCCAGAGCCTTCTGAGAGAGGAGCCTGTGCCTTCCCTGCTGCCCCTGCTCCCGGCCCAGGAGCTGGGTAGTGGGAGTGGCACGGGCAGTGGGGGGACCCCGCCGTTAAGGCCCTAGCTCACTGGTCTGGCCCCTGTGGGGAGACCCCGTCCGCACTGCCCCGGGCACCTTCCCACCTCGGTGCTGGGAAAGAAGGCACGTGCCGAGGGCCGGGCTGTGTGGGTCACTTCCCAGCCACCGGGTCATAGTAACGTGAAGGAGCGGCAGTGGAACTCGGCTCACGGGTTCAGGTGACTCAGTCCATGGTCCACTGGCTCTAAGGCAGGAGCGTGGTGGCGGGAACAGGGGAACGGCACCGAGAGGATCCGATCCCTGCAGTTCACGCACACACACCCAGAAGTGTCCTTCACTGATCCCCTGGGCCGCTCCCCAGCTGACGGGATGGCACAGTGACTCACGCCCACCACACTGTCTGATGCTGTCCCTTCAGCCCGAGGCTCCTTCTGTCCTCAGCTTGCCTTTGAAAACCATGCAGAAGCTGATTTTGGAGCACAGAGACCACATGGGGTGGGGGGGACCGCCATGACACAGCAGCTGGGCGAGTCCTTCCGCACGTGGAACCTCCACTTCCTCGTTTCCAGCAGAAGGAGAGCAGCACCTTAGCATTGCAGAGGAGAATAAGACAGATGCCAGCACAGAGCCAGGCTGCAGGTTCACCTAGCAGCTAGGAATGGAGAGAATGAGGCAGAGGGCGTCTGCAGCACCCATGGCCCACATTCCTGGGCTTGGGGGTACACCTGCCTGCACCCGCAGGGGCTGCTCAGCCCAGGGGCTCCTGTGTGCCCAGGAGACCACAGCTGGTCCAGCCAGGAGCCGTAGCCTTCTCTGCAGCCAGCAAGGCTGGCATCTATCTGGTGGGCATTGATGCTATCCAGGGGTCCCATGAGGTGGCCATGGCTGGACTACTGACACATGGGGTGCTGTGGGCTCCCACAGTCTGCTGCGTGGAATGAGGGGTGACGCCTGGAGGCTCCACCCTGCTCCCACCTCTGCAAGGCACAGGCACCAGGCAGACAGGGCGCTGTGCCCAGGGCTGTCTAGGGGTTCCCCAGCAGGTAACCACTGTGCGTGTGCCTTCCAGAAATTCAGAGCAAGCGCCAGGAGCGGAAGAGGAGGAGCACAGCCAACCCCGCCTACAGCGGCCTCCTGGAGACCGAGGTGGGGACTGGGCCTGGTTGGGTGCAAACGGGAAAGGGGCAGGAGCAAAGCTGTCAGCTGAGTCCCCTGAAGCCGCCCCAGGGAGCAGCATGCGTCGTGGGCGCCCCTGTGGTCACGTGCACGGCAGATCCCCACTTCCTGGGACCCCTGCAGTTTCATGTGCAGAGCCTGCCCGGCCCACCCAGCGCAGAGGGGCTGAGAGCATGGGCAGTGTGCATGTCCCCTTGTCCCCCACTGGCACGATGCGTCTGTCCTCCCTGGGGACAAACATGGGGAGCCGGCAGTGGCCCGAGCTGGCTGGAGCCAGGAACCCCAGGACGGCCTGGCTCCCACAAGTCTGATCTCATAACCGCCCCTGTCTCGCTCTGAGCGTGCCAGCCGTCACCTGCGGGTGGCTCCAGACACAGGTGCCCCTGGCACTGCGGCCGCCCCTGCTTACCCCCAGGGCCTCTGCTGTGGGCAGAGCAGGACTTGAAGGTTGACTCAGCAGGCAGGAAGTCTCCATCCCACACTTCGATGTTCCACTGGCCCTGGCCCTGGTGGGCGAGGTGGCACAGACTACCTCGGCTCCCCGGGAGCAGCCGAGCCCACATGAATTCTTGCCTTTTGAATTAAATTCCAAATTCTTGAGGTAGAAGCCAGATGCTGTCCTGAGGGAGTGCAGGGCTAGGGCAGGAAGGGCTGGGCGCCCCAGGCTCGAGCTCTGAGAGCTCTGGAGGAAGGTGTAGAAGCCATCAAGCCCAGTGGGACAGGGCGCCCGGTGCCACCTGCAGGGAAGGAGGCGCTCTGGGGAGGGTGCAGCACCCGGGTGGCACCTGCCTCCCTGCTGGCTTTCTGTCCTGCCTGGCGTTGGGGGCCCCGGGAGGGAGTGGTCCCCCATGTCTGGGAAGGGCAGCATCCTGAGGAGTGCTCACGGATGGAGGGTGAGTGGTTCCTGCGTTTGTGCCCGCAGAGGAAGCGCCTGGCCTCCAGCTATCTCAACAGCCCCCTGTTCCTCACAGCACGAGGTGAGTGGTAGTGGCAGAGACGTGGGGTGTGGGCTGCTGGGCCTCCCCAGCAGGACCTGGCTGGGTGTGTGGGGAGGACGGGGGCTGAGGACCTGGGCATGGCCGGGCCGCCCCTGATGTGGGGCATAGTCTGGGCACTGGCTGGGAGCTTCCGGCCCTCCATCCTGTGTGTGCTCTGAGCTCGTTGTGAGGGACCTGGGTTCCTCTCTGTGCACCCCACTGGATGCTGGGGTGATGGGCTGAGGCCTCCCTGGGTGTTTTCAGAGGCCTGATCACGGGACCCTGCGGAGCCACGCCGTGGGTACGGGGCTGGGGGTTTGCACGTTACTGTCTCAGCTTTCTGGACTATAGCGTGGGCCGCCCCTACCTCTCCCCAGAGCCTGGTGGCCTCGGGCGAGCCGCCCGCCTTGCACTCACGGTAGCCAGTTCTGTGGCCCTGTGATCCCTGTGTGTGACTGGACACCACATTCCGCAGCAGGGTCGGTGACAGGCAAAAAGGAGCTGGACACCAGGCACTGAGGGGTTCCTGGGCGACAGGTGCCTCCGCCCTGCCAGGCAGCTCGCCGTCACCAGCCCCTCAGCGAGCTCAGCCCCAAGAGCTGGGCTGGAGCAGGTCCTGGCCATGCCAGGGCCAGTGGCCATTCATCTCACCAAGCCCTGGGGGGAGCACAGGCCTCACTGGGGCCTCATGGGCTCCCGTCAGCCCTGGGTGGAAAAGCCGTCCTCTCCGGGACCTTGAGATGTTCGCATGGTTCTCTGTGGAGAGGACACTGCCACGCCGGGCTGCTGGACCAGGCTTCTTGCCCTTGGTTCCGCTGCTGCCCACTAACCTGTTCTCGCCCTTCTCCCTGTGCCAGCCGATGAGGACCCCTGCTGGAAGGTACGTGCCCGGCTCACTCCCGGGGGTGGGGCAGGTTCTGCACCCAGCAGGGAGGCCGCCCCTGGACAGGCCTGGCCCAAGGTGGGGCCCGTGGCCTCTGGGCTCTAGCATCGGTGCCAGTGACCTCTTGTGCCCTGGGTCTGCTTTCTTGTCCTCAAGCAGAACCAGGCATCATCGCCACAGGGGCACCAGGCCCTCGGGAAGCAGCCAGTGCTGGTCTCCACCCTGGCCGTGCTCGGCTCACTGTGTGACCCTGGCAGAGCTGGCCCTTCTTGTCCTGTGTTGCTCATCCCAAATGGCCATGCCAGTCTCCAGGGGCTCACCCCCTCTCCTGAGCCTGTGGATGTCTCTGTGACGCATGCACACCTGGCCCTGCGCCCCTTGACCTAGACTGGTCATGCATGGCCTGGTGCCCAGATGTGGCCTGAGATTACTGAGTGTGTTCTTCACCCAGTTTCCAGTCTCACTGTAAATGGGGTTCAGGGCCTGGCGTGCTTGTGCTGATCAAGCCACTGGACAGCGCTGGGCAGTTGGTTCCACCCACTCTGGCCAGGCTGTGTTGTTCTTCACTGTAGCCAGCAGGCCTGGCCGCTTGCTCACAGACACCTGGCACCTGGACCAGGTGGCACAGGAGGGGGCAGGGCCTCCTGAGCCGGAACCCCACCCGGAGGGACCTCAGCTTTGAAGGAGGAGGCTGAGATGCTGGCCTCAGCGCACCTCTGGCTCACCCTGTGACCTCCTGCCCCGTCCTCCCTGGGCCCTGGCACAGAAGTGAGGGCCTCGTCCGAGGTGTGGTGGCTCCTCTAGGGACATCTCTGATGTCCGGAGCCCTGAGGCATGGCCACCTGAGAGCCCCTGTCTGCCTCAGGACTGAAGTCAGAGCTCTGTTCACACACAGCTACGGGGTGGGCGCCTGCGGGCAGCGGGAAGTCAGTGAGGTCTGCAGCTCACGGGCAGTGGAGCCTGGTCAGAGGGGCCCTGGACACACAGCCTCTGGGAGGTGGCAGTGCCTGGCAGGGCAGCCAGCACCCCTTACCCCTGCTGCGGGGCCCTGTGGTGACGGGCACTCTGTACACACTCTCGTTCAGTCCTGAGCCAACCATGTGACAGTCGTCCTTGTCTGCGTGGTGGACACAGACTGGGTGGCACTTACTGGGTGTCGGGCCCAGCCTGAGGAAAGGAGCTGCTGAGGGTCCTGGGCAGCTTGTGCTGGGCCCCAGCCCTCGGCCAGAGCTTTGGGAAGGGGCCTGATTGCTGGCCACGCTCCCAGGATGAGACCCACACATAGGCTGTTCCCGGGCTGCACTGAACCCCATCCCCGTCGCGGAGCATCATGGGGGACCTGGGTTGTACCCTAAGGACTCGCCCGGCCACTGCACCTGGGTGGTGCCCCAGAGCCCTGTCCTTTGGGTCGCCGTGGCTGCTGCTGGGCTGCAGGTGGTTCCTGCACTGCCCCCTGCCTGGGCCTCCTCCCCAGAGCCGCCCCGTCACGCTCGCCCTTGCCTTCACCCCAGCCTCCCTCTCTTCCAGCGGGAGTTCTCACACGATGAGCACTGCGCGGCCTGCAGGCGGGGAGCCGACCTCCTGCACTGCAGCGCCTGCCCCGACGCCTACCACCTCGGCTGCCTGCACCCGCCCCTCAAGACGGCGCCCCGAGGCGGGTGGCTGTGCCCCAAGTGCCAGCAGAAGGTGGGCAGGGCAGGGAGGGCCGAGGCAGGTGACAGGAGGTGCTGGGTGTGGGCTGGAGTTGACCCTTTGTGTGGGGCTTTATCCTGTGAATGGGGGTGCCCGACAGCACCCCCAGCCTCTCCCTGAGAGAGACCCCCTGGGCCCAGCTGGGGGGCCGAGTCTCAGGCTTGCACAGCCGGGCACGCCCTGCAGGGTATAGGGCCTGCCCTCCCCCTCACTTCCCCTCTGCCCCCAGGCCTTAAAGAAAGACGAGGGTGTGCCCTGGACTGGCATGCTGGCCATCGTGCACTCCTACGTCACCCACAAGACAGGTAAGGCGCCCCCTACCCTCAGACCGCAGGCCTTGGGTGGCTGGGTGGGCGCAGTCCTGGGCGGAGCCCTGCTCACCCGCCCTCTCTCCTAGTCAAAGAAGAGGAGAAGCAGAAGCTGCTGCAGCGGGGCAGCGAGCTGCAGAGCGAGCACCAGCAGCTGGAGGAGCGGGACCGGCAGCTGGCCTCGGCCATGAAGGTGCGCGCAGGCCCACATAGCACGCGGGCAGAGCCAGGCCTCGGGGGCCATGAGCCCAGGAGTGTGCGGTGGAGGAGGCAGCTCTGTGCTGGACTGACAGATGCTTGCTTGTCAAGCAGTTAGGGGCGTCCTGGCTCTGGGGCTCCTCTGAACCTCAGTTTCTTTCTGTCTCCAGTGAACAGAATCCAGTTAAGGGGGAGCTGTGGTGGTGGTGGTGGTTGTAGGCAGGATGCCTGTGACTGGTGATGGTGGTGACAGTGATGATGACTATGGTGGTAATGTACGGCCAGCGATGGTTGCAGGGATGATGCCCATATTGGTGATTGGTGATGGTGGTCGTGGTGGTTGTGATAGTGATATGGCCACTGACAGTTGTAGCGATGATGCCCATGACCAGTGATGGATGATGGTGATGGTTATGGTGGTGGTGGTGGTGAGGTGATGACAGTGGTGGTGGTGGTAGGGGACACAAAGTCACGGTATTCCTGGTGGTGGTGAGCTCCACCGTGCTGGGCCCTGGAGAAGTCCCTTGGGTGCTGGTGCCCCAGTGTGCCTCTCACGGCCAGAGCAAAGCTCCGTTTCTTGCTGCTGCCTGTTCCGAGCTGTTCCCTGCAGTGGAAGGGAGGGCCCCGGGAGTGGTGTGCCAGAGCTTCCCAGGGCTGCGTTCTGCTGCACTGAGAGCCCCTCTCTGTGAACTCTCTCCCTTTGACAGAAATGTCTAGAGCTTAAGACCAGCCTGCTGGCCCGCCAGAGAGGCACCCAGTGTTCGCTGGACCGCCTCCGGGCCCTGCTGAGACTGATACAGGGCGAGCAGATGCTCCAAGTTGCCATGACTACCGTGAGCCCCACCCCACTGCTGGCTGGGCCCTGGACCAAGCCCTCAGCTGCTGCCGTGCGCTCCACCGTCCAGCACCCCCAGGACCACAAGTGACCCCAGAGACCTGTCTACGTGCCCATGGAAAGTTACCAGGGTCCTGCTCGTGTGACCTTGGGGTTCTGTCGGCCTTAATTCACACACTCTATGAATTTCAGACAAAAAACCAGATAGAGAACCAGGGAGAGAAGGGAGGAGCCAAGCAGGCATCCCAGAGCCTCGACCGGGAGGGGTGTCCTGCACCTGCCCGCTCCTGGGGATGCCTGGAGGCCAGGTGGGGTGTGACAGGCACAGGCGGCCCCCACCCTTGGGTGTTGGGGGGCCCGGGGTTCTGGCTCTCTCCACAGCCCCATTCCACACTCACGGGAGTGGGGGCTGCCCGGAGAGGTCGGACGCTGCAGACCGGCTCCCCCGGCCACTGCAGGCCCCTGCTCAAGCCTCCGCGGGGAGGAACCTCGGGCCCTTAGCTGAATAGTAGGGGCAGGGCGCAGGAGAAGAGGGTAGCAGTCTAGGTAGTCTCCAGCGCCCGCCCGCCTCCCCGCCCCGGCCGCCTGTCAGTATTACAAGCAGCGGTGGAACCCGAAAGCCAGGAGGCCCGCCCACCCGTGGGCTTGCTCTGCCCTCCCTCGATGCGTCTTTCTTAAGGGGTCTGGGGGCAGGACGGAGCTGCTGCACGTGGAGCAGGTGGTGGGCAGGCTTCCGCCCTGGGTTCAATCGTTCAGCTGACCGTGGGAGCCCTTGGTGTCCATTTCCAGAGCCGCTGAGTGTTGGGGTCTTCCCTTCTTGCCAGCACAGACTCGATGCCAAAAAACCACTTTCCGTTTTTGTAGGGTGTACTCAGCTGTGAGGTGTTTACCAGGGAGCCCCGAGGTAGGAAGGGGAGCGCCCCACCCCTGGGGCCTGGCAGGTCCCAGAGACCTGGCAGGTTTTAAAAGGACCAGGAGAGAAAGCACAGGCCGAGGCCGAGGCATGGTCTGGCCTTCAGGGACCTGAGAGTCCCCTCTCTGTGTCCCTCGGCCGCTCCCCAGGGCTCCTGCTTCCTGGGCGAGCTGCACCAGCCCCCCCTGCCCACCAGGAACCTGGTGCGCTGCCCCAGCCTATCACATGGTGCCGAACTGCATTGAACACGCGTGTGCGGACGTGTGTTTGTGTGTGTGTGCACACAGCCCGGCCCCAGATACACATGCACGTGCACGCCCACAGACGCAGTGCAGCGCTGGGAGGCGGGGAGCCCGCAGCTGCCACTCAGTCCCTCTTGTCATTTCCACGACTCCGGGAGAAACTGTGCTGTACAATACAGATCTATTTTGATACACGCCACACTGGTTGAACAAGATTTTTATATTTTGTCAGTGAACAAAGTGAGCTGCGGGGCCCACATCTTCTGCATCGGTCACTCGGTACGCGACCTCCAGGGCTCCGGGCCCCTCTTGAGGGGTTTGCTTTGCTTTCCCTTGGATGATGGGAGCGGATCTTTGCAGATGTCGCGGGAGGATGTGGATGGTCGGAGCCGGAGGGGCAGCTGCCGACGTGTCTTGAGACTATTAGTGTTTTGGAGCGGGAGGACCGTCCAGTGGATAGTGAGGCTAGAGAGCAGTGTTTGTCTTAACTATGCTGACGTAGTTTCCTTCTGTGCGATGCATTAAACTCCACTGATGATTTTAAAGCCTCGCGGTGTCTGTGCCTTTGGTGGGGGACAAAGGGCGGCCAGAAATCAGGGTCCCCCCACATCTCACCTGAGGCCCGGGCTGCCGGTGGAAAACCCCAGAAACCAGCGAGCCCTGAACGCTTGGTGGCTCCCCTTCACCGTGTCTGCCTCTTGGCTTGGTGCTGTCATCCCCCAGCTCTGCATCCCCAGGAGCAGGGGACACTGCCCCACCACCCCGGGGTCCTTGGGACCAGCTACTGCGGCTCCGGGGATGCACAGCCTACCCAGCAGGGGCACCTGGCCGTGTCCTGCCACATAGTAGCCCAGGACGTGGCTTGAGGGCCCAGAGCTCACGTGCTGCCTCCGGACCCCTGACTGCAGGGGACCTGGCTGCCATCCTGAGTGGTCTTCATGGCCTCTGTCCAGGCTGCCATGGGGAGGACACCTCCCCTTGGGGACAGGCCACCACCTGCCACACTGTGTCCTCCATTCACTGCTGTTTTAAATCCTTGCAGTCACCCCTCACTTGCCCCCCTGAACTGCCCATGTCAGTGGTGCCCCCATGTCTGGGTCCACTGGGCACCCTGGTCATGCCCTGGACACTTGGGGTGCATGGACAACATCCGGTCCCCGAAGCAGCTCCCCACTCTAGGCCTGCCGCCCCTCAGTCTCTGCTCCTTGACTCCTCCCCTTCTGTGCCCCAGACTCTGCGCTGTGCTGGACCCCACAGCTGCCGCATGGCTGGCCACACCAGCCGGGCGTGGTCCCCACCAACCTGGCCCCTGCCTGTCTCATGGTCCAGCCCTGCAGGAGCCAGCGTCACCTCTCTCAGCCCCGTCTCGGGGGTCCTACGATAGCTGGGCATGGTAACGCATGCCTGTAATCCCAGCGCTCAGGAGGCTGAGGCAGGAGGGTCATTGCAAGTTTGAGACCAGCTTGGGCCATCCTCAACTGCATAGCTAGACCCTGTTTCAGAGAAAAAAGACAGAAAAACTGTATTTGAGAAAAGACACAGGGCTACGAATCCCCCTCCAAATCCTCTGCCTTGCTGTGAACACAGTGTGCCACTGTTCTGTGCACTGTGCGCTGCTCTGGGGGCCTCGCCTGCGGTCTATGAGGCGTGATCACAAATCCAGTGATTGCCGCCACTGCCGAGTGCTATGTAACGACACGACAGCATCTTAACTAATGACACTCAGGAAAGAGGACTCCAGAACTGCTTTGTGATGGGATGAGTGTGCTCGGAGCAGGCAGGGGTCGGGGGCTCGTGGCGGTGTGCCTTACTGTAGTATGTTCTCATTTAAACGTTCACCATACCTTTATTTAAAAAATATAATAATATTGTTCACTGTCTCTCAGTCGCGCCTTGTGAAGTCCTCACCTCCTCTGCGGCCCGTGATCCCCGCCTCTGGTTCATTTCCTGCTCTACTCCAGGTTCCCCGGTGTCTGCTCTATCTCCACTCAGTAGGCAAGCACCCACCACAGGGCCTTTGCACATGCTGTCTCATGTGCTCTTCCCTACTCTCTTTCTGACTGGCTCCCCAGCTTGCTTTGAGACTTAGGCTGCCCATCCTGCCCTGCTCTGTTAGATTCCTTGCCCGGGGCCTATCCAGTGTTCTCACCTGCCCGTGTCAGTAGTGTGGACATCTGTCACTGGAACCTACCAAATCCCAGCATCGGAATCGCACGCACGACTGGTGTGCTCTGTAGGTGGCTACAAGATAAAGGAAGGTGCCCACTGGGGCGTGGACCTGGCCTTGGCTCTGAGCTGCCTCCTGGCAGAGGGGAGGGCAAGTCCAACTGCCAATGGAGTCGGCAGAAGCCCAGTGTGGGGTGCGTGTCCACAGGACCCCTCACCCCTGCCTGTGCCAGGGCCCCAGAGCCCCTCCTATGCCTGCCCCAGTCAAGCTGTCACCACAAGGCCTTGTGCACCACACCCCACGGTCCCCAGAAGATGCATGCGACAGCAGTGATGGGGCTCAGGGCTCGAGGGGGCTGTGCCCACTGGGACCGGACAGGTTGCAGCACAGAGCTGCCCTCACCCAGCTCGGGAGGGAGAGGGGACAGGGACCCCCATGACTTCTTGCCGAGCAGCCAGGACCCCCAGGACCTGTCAGTGCAGCCCTCCTGGCTTCCTTCTCAGGCAGAGACCTCAAGTGACAAAGCCACAAGGCTGAGAGTAGGACTAACCTGGTCACACCCTCTGGACGCTGGCCACTGCAGGGTGCTCAGATGGACAGCAGGGGTCCCCCGCTGGCTCTGCCGATGCATTGGAGGCCCAAGGCTCCCAGATGACAGGGCAGAGGCTGGAGGGGACAGGGAGGGAGGGCGGCTCCGTCCCTTCGTGTACTCAGACGGGGTGACCGACAGCACACTGCGCCCCGTGTCCACACCCCGGCGGATTCCGCACCTGGAGACGGCGCCTGGTCACTGTGTCCCCTGGGGACAGCAGGGCAGGGCACCAACAGGCCCCTGCCCCCGACAAAATTCACCGCCCGCTCAGCACTCACCTGCAAGTGCAGGATGACATGTGAGTTCTGTGTCACCCGGCTACTCTGACCAGAGACAGTCACACAACTGAATGCAGATGGCTTGCGCCCTGGGGGACTGATTTGTGGACAGCAGTGCACAATGTATACACCATTGTTGGCCACAATTGCTGTGTTTTGAAATTTTATTTTATGTTTTTCTCTTTGAAATCAAATGAGAAGGCCCGGGGATATAGCTCAGTGGCACAGCGCTTGCCTGGCAAGCATGAGGTTGTGAATCTGATTCCTGGTACCCAAAACAAAACAAAACAAAAACCAAAAAGAGGTTGAAATAAAGTATATTTTAAAAAAGGAAGGAAGGAAGAAAGAGAAGGAGTCACGTGTCCCTGCCGTGCTGGATCAGGGCGGCGTCTGTCCAGGAGCTTGTCCTGCTCTGTAAGGAGTACCCAGCTTGGAAGGTAAGGTCCACACTAGGCGTAGACACCGTAATCCCAGCACTCTGGGAGGCTGAGGCAGGAGGACTGCAGGTTCCAGGCCAGCCTGAGCAATTAGCCTGACCGGCTGCTCCCCCTCCCCGCACCTCCTCTGCCTCGTGGGTCAGTTCAGTGCGTTTTCTGTGGCTTTCGCCAGCTGCCTGAGGCTGGGCGCTTCGCACACCAAAGAAGTTTGTTTGGCTCACAGTTTTGGGGGCTGAAATCTGCGACTCAGCGGCCCCGCGGAGTCACCCTGTGTCCGGGGCTCCTGGCTGTGCACAGCGAGTATCAAGGTGAGAAGGGAGATGGTGCGTGCAGAGGGCCGGAGTGTGGTGTGGCCGTGCGGGACACCAGCCTCGCACAAGAACTAACCCAGCTCTTCCCCAGGGTCCCCACCCACTTCCCAGAGGCACCACCTCAGCAGGGCCACATGGGACCGTTAGGGGTCAGGGTGGAGCGGGCACGAGCTCCCGGGACACAGTGACCCATGCAGGCGACACTGCCTCAGGGGAGCTGATTCTGCGTCTGTTTGCAAAGATGCATAGTCCTGGATCCATACACAAATATCAGTACATTTTTATTTAAAGAATTTTGTATGTAAAGTATCCACGAAGTCATGATAACGAAGCTGTTTTGATGGATGGGTGGACGGACTGATTGGAGACAGGGTCTCGCTCTGCGGCTCAGGCCGGCCTTGCACTCCCTCTGTGGCCCCGGCTGGCCCTGAGCTCACAGTGATCCTCCTGCCTCAGCCTCCCACATGTCGGGGTCACAGGCGTGCGCAACCACACCTGGCTAAAACAGACCTGTTTATTTATTTTTTAAATAGGAAATGGGGGGATGGAAAGAAAGCTTTGGTCCTTGGGGAGGGGAAGAGGAGACAGGAGGGCAGGCACGTGTACAGGTACAAACTCCCCGATGTGACCATTCTGTGTGGCAAACAGAAAGTAGAATGTAACACTTGACCCACACACCAAAAAAACAGAAAAACAAAACAGAATGAAAACGCGGACGCCTGCTCCAGTGCCCGGCGCCCACCACAGCTCTCTCCCTCGGGCTCTCTGTCTGCCTTTGTGGTGCTGGGGCCTCGTGCACGCAGCTGAAAACTGCCGTGAGCCGCAGCCGGCCCTTGCCCTGGCTCTCATCTCCACTGGAGTCACGGACACGCGGACGAGCCCTCGCAGCTCCTCTGTGGGTGCCGGGTCCAGGCTCCTCCGGGGAGTCCCTGCGGGCCACCTCGCCTGCCACCTCCCCGCACCTGCTCCAGGACACGCTCATCCCCCGCCGCCACGCTGCGGAGAGCCGGCCCAGGGCAGAACCAGAGTGACCGCCAGACGTCCCACTGGGATGGGCCCCGAGTTTGTGTAGATCTCTTCGGATATATACTTTTTTCTTTTTTTTTGGTACCAGGAATCCAACTCTTGACCGCACTTGTCTCTGTCACTGAGCCACGTCCCTGGTTTAGCTGGGTTTATACACCTCCAGATTCACACACACATATCCTTTCTGTCCCAGGCTGGACTCAAACTTGCAGTGATTCTCCTGCCTCAGCCTCCCAAGTGCTGAGATTGTAGGAATATGTTGTATCCCCCACCTCCGTGCAGCCAGCCCGGGGTGGGACGGGCCTGGGTCCTCTCTGTAACTGTGAGACCCAAATAGACAGCTGCCGCAAGCACACAGCAAGGGGGCGCCAAGGCCGAGAGGGGGACAGTGTCCCGGGCTCCCGAGGCTCCCGTGTGGCCTGGAAGCTGAAGCCAAGCCTCTGACTGTGACCTCGCCCTGCGGGCTGAAGGACTTGTGAAGGTCATACCCTAGGTGACACTGGAGCCGCTGACCGGCTGCAGTGGACAGGCTGGACAGTTTCAATCACTCTCTGTGGCGCTCAGCTCCAAGCTCCGGGCAGCCCGCTGAGTGGCTTAAAATCTCCGTCATTTCCGCATAAGGAGTGTTGGGACCTTTCGTCCCATCCATCCTGTCACTGGCGACACCTGGGGTCCTTGTTCCTAGGTGTCGAGTTGCATCCTCTTAAGCTGAAACGTGCCAGTGCTGTGCTCCCAACGTGGCCTGCCTGGAGCGCTGGCTCCCGAGGTGGAAGGAATCAGGATACTGCGCTTTGATACAAGGGAGTCTTCGATGAGGCTGGGGGGCACAGGGCAGGGACTCCCCCTTCCCCACACTCAGTGTTTGCAGAGCCTCTCGGAGCTGGGAAATGCGCCGCATCTCCGTCCCGAGGCACCTTCCCTGGAACCCGCCCTGCATAATGCATGAGATATGATTTAGGGTCATTGTTAGTCCTGCAGCCCTCCACGGCGCTCTCTGAAGGGAGCCATCATCTTTATTTCTCTCCTCTTTTATTTCTTTCCTTGCTGCAGAACTCTGAGGCCGTTTGGGGCTGATCTGAATTTCGAGAGCCCAGAGGCCTTCCTGCAGCTGCCGACCGCTTTCCGGGAGGTGTGGCCAGGGAGCCAGCGGTGGCCCGTGGCTCGGGGACCGAACTGCACTGCTCCCCAGCTTGACTGTTGGGGGCCAGAGCCAGAGGGTTGTGTTAAAAAGGATGAAAGGAAGGGACAGAGAACGAAAGAAGGAAACAGAGAAAGTCTTTAAAGCAGAATAGGGAAGGAAGGGTCGGAGGTCGGTTTTGAAGAAGCCCCAGGGGCCTGTTCTGGCCTGGGGGGGTACAAGCATCAGAGCTAGGAAGCACAGAGAGGCCAGGACACGTGGGCCAGGAGAGGGGCAGGGAGAGGCGGTGACAGGAGCCCAGCAGGAAGGAGCAGCTGGGAGCCATGGGGCAGAGAAGTCTCAAAGCCAGCGCTGAGGCCAGTCGGCTGCTGGCACCTCCACTGCCCAGGGCTCGGGGCGGGTCCCCTGCAGTCTTTCCCTGGAGCCCTGGACAGTGAGGCCACAGGCAGGGTGTCCAGCTGCTGAGTAGCGGCTGCGGCCTCCCCGAGGATGCCCAGGCGGAGAGCTGCCAGCCCAGCCACCTCCACGCTCCAGGGCCAGGCCACCTGATGGCTTTGAGAGGAGGGCTGGCCACCTGGGAGGACCAAGATCTAGGTGGTTCTGGGACAGCCAGGAAACGTCCAAGACAGGGTGTGGCAGTGGCCACCCCTTCCCTGTCCACACGGGGGCGCTGACCCCTCACCCTGGCCTTGGGCACATGGGGTGCAGTTGGGGCTTAGATCTTGTGGAGGCTCAGCCACATCCTCAGAGCTGGAAGGCAGCAGGTGTGGGGCCCCATCATACAGTGAGGAGGCTGCGGCTGGGTCCCCCGAGCTGGCAGAGCAGAAAGCCTCACTGTTCGATCCCAGCCCTGCGGCTGCCGGCCCTGCAACTGGCGCCATGGGGTCCCCACTTGTGGGTTAGGAACAAGAGAGCCTCAGTGGCCAAAGACCCCCCCACATCTTCTTGGGAAGAACCACAAGAGGGGTGCCAGGATAGACTCTCGTCCTGGGGAGCAGAAGGGACATTCCTGTCCAGGGGAGGACACTGGGGCGTGTCCTGAGCAGCTGTGAGCCCAGCCTCGGGGACCCAGGATGGCACCTGTGCCTCACGTGCAAGGTGCCGCCTGTGACAGGTGCTGGGGCAGCCCGGGAGTGCCCTGGCCCCTTCCTTGCGGATGAGCAGCACAGGCCGGGTAGAAAGCAGCCTGGCAGTGGGGGTGAGGTGGGGCTCCTTGTAGCCAGCGCCTCCACATTCCAGACCCAGGCCCCCTGCACGGCAGGAGCGGGTAGCACAGTGGACCCCCACCCTGTCCTCCTTGTCCAGCACCTACTCCTCCCTGTGGTAGGCACAAATGGGCAGTGGCAGCGAGTGGCCCAGGGACCTGTCCCTCCCTCACTGCCTCGGCTGGCCAGGGCTTCACCCCGGCCCCACGGTGGGCCATGTGATCCAGGCCCGGCCAATCAGAGTACTTCCTGGCCACAGGGACAGTGACAGGCCCAGGGTGGGCACGTGACCTCAGTGGGCCTGTGCTGGGGACTTCCTGTTTGACCACGGAACCCAGATGTCACTTCCTTTTGCCCTTCAGAGGGACGTGGATGGGCCGGTCAGCCCTGAGGGCGACTCTGTCTGAGACGGTGCGGGCCCAGCTCGTCCCGGGCCCTGTAGCAGACCAACTGCATCGTGCCCGGGGCTGCACCCTTCCCAGAGGCCTTTGCAGTCTTGTGTTGTGAGCCAGGGCTTGGCCAGGCCCTTCCGAGCCCACAGGACTCTGGCCAGTGCCAGGGACAGCTCCCCTTCGCCCTAGTGCAGGCCTTCTGCCTCTGCGGGGGACACACTGCGTGGCTGCTGGGTGCAGGTGACAGCACAGGGGCCCAGCCTGGACGCATGGGGAGCCCCTCCAAGCCAGCTGACCCAGGGCCCACATGACAAAGGCCCGGCCCCTGCTTGCAGCTGAGCAGTGGAACCTCAGGAAGTGAGGTCACTGGGGGTGTGACCCGAGAGGGGCCACTGGGACCCGCCCTGTCTTCACACACTCTGCTTCCTGGCCACCACGCCCACTTCCTCCACCACGATCTCTGCCGTGCTGTGCCACCTCACCCTCGGCCAAAAGCAACAGCACAGAGGGACCACGGACTGAGGCCTCCGAAATTGTGAGTGCAAATAAACCTCCCTTCCTTCAAGATGGTTTGTCTCGGGTACTGTCACAGTGGTGAACAGGTCATACATGCACTGGGCGCCCTGAATAATTGTGTGGAGCCCCTGGGTATGGGTGGCTTGTTACGCAGCAGCGCTGACAGCTACACGATCTTCATACATTTCCATTTCAGTTAAGGCACCCTGGGGTACAATTTAAAAGAATGATTTTTCACAGATACCTTCTTTTATTCTAGCCACAGCCCAGGAACCACGGAGAAGAGCGTTAGAGTCAGGAGGAGGAAATGTCCGTTAGAAGGTTCTGAGTTCAGGTAACACTGGCTGTTTTCACAGAGAGCGAGTCTGTAAAACCCACTGAGAACACAGTTGCATGGACTTCGCCAGGACCTCTGCACATGACAGGTGACTCCTGGCTGCCGTCAGGGGACGCGGAGGCCGGACAAGCCTGGTGAGGGCTGTGGTGGTTCCGTGCCCCCGCATCCTCGGACCAGGTGGCTGCCCTGTCCGCCTGCGTCCCCTGAGCCCGGGCCTCGGTCCCCCAGGGCCTCTTGGGCACTGAAGATGGTCTCGTAGTACTCGATCAGCAGCTCGGTGAACAGGTTCAGGGGCAGCAGGGCGCTGAGCGAGGAGGTGCCCTGCGAGGGCCAGATCAGGTTCAGCCCGAAGACGCAGGCCAGGTTGGAGCTGTTCATCTTGTTGATCATGCTCTCCTGGGACACCTGGGGGACCCGGGGGACGAGGGCCGTGAGCCTGAGGCTCCACCCTGACCCTTGGGTGTAGCACAGAGCCCTGGACTAGGAGCCACCAGCCAGTGCTGAGGCCTCGGCAGCCATCTCCGCTCCAGACTCAGTTTCCCCATTTATAAAAGGAAGGGATTGGCCTTGATGCCTCGGGAGACCCCCCGGCTCTGACCTCCTGTGATCTACCTCCCGGGGTCTCCTCAACACCCCTCCTGCTCCCCTCAACTTCAGCAGGCCCGGGAGGCCCACGCCCACCAGCATAGCGGGTCTGGGTAGGATAACCTCTGACCTCTGACCTCAGGGACAGGGTTGGTGACCTGGGGATGCCTGAGGTCAAAAGCTGAGGTTGCTTGGGAGGGAGGGAGGTGTGTGAAGCTTCCTCACTCCCGTGAGGGGCTCCCCATCTGTGCCGGCTGCCGCAGCAGCCTCAAGAGCTAGAATTCATTACACGTGGGGGAACTGAGGCAGAGAATGGCCAGGGAATGTCCAGGTCATGCGGCCAGGCTGAGGGCTGAGGGCTGAGGGCTGAGGGCGGGCCTGTTCTCTCTTTGCTTTGCTGTAAAACCCAAGCCCGGGGCCCTGGGGACCTGGACAGAGGTGTCCCCACTGCCCCTGCACTCTGCTGGCCAGAAGTGGCATCGCGAAGGTGTGACCCCAGGCCGGCAGGCGGACCCCAGCCACTCACCGTGTGCAGGAAGGCCACGAGGTAGCGGAGGACAGCGTAGTTGTGCTCCGGGAGGCTCCGCAGGATCTGGCGGCAGTGGGTGACACGCAGGCTGCTCTCCACGTCTGCAAGACAGGGGACCCCTGAGCCGGCTCGGAGGGGCTGGGCGCACGGCGCCCCCGGGAAGGCCCAGCTCTGAGGCTGACCAGCGCCACAAGGATTAGATCTTTTTTCTTCTCCTGTATAGGGAAAAGTGGCTTCTCCAAGCTTCCTCAGGCCTAGGACACAGACTGCCACCTCCACCGCGGGCCCAGTCCAATGGACAGAGCACATGGGCACTGGCCCGTAAGGTACAGCACAGGCCTGTACCTGCAGCTACTGTCAAAGATCCTAACAGCTGTCCACAGGGAGATGGGTATTGAGGCCCTCTGTGTCCCTGGGGTCAGCTTGCTTTCTTTCTTTATTGAGACAGGGTCTCGCTATGCAGTTCAGCCTGCCCCTTGAGTGCATTCTAGCCCAGGCTGGTCTCAAACTCACAGTGATCCTCCTGCCTCAGCCTCTGGAGTGCTGGGATTACAGGCGTGAGTTGCCATGCCCGGTCTTTGGATAAATCTCCCTCTGTGGGGAGTCCGGGGCCTGGTTCTTGAGAGATGGCCGTGAACCCTGTCTCTGGTCACCTGCCCTCCCCAAGGTGGGCCAGTACCACATAGCTGACAGCCCCCACTCTCTTGTCACAGGTCTGGTCTTTGTGGAATGTAGGCCCCGACCCGAGTCACCTAACTAACATGCCTGGCTCCAGGAGTAACAAGATATTCCTATCTATTATGGTTTATATCTGGATGTCCCCCAACGCCTCACGCACTCCTAGGTGGGACTTGGGGGGGACTGGATTACGGGGTGTGCTGCTCATTGCTGGACTAGCCCACTGATGCGTTTAGAGCTGAATGTGACGGTGGAGGGAGGTGGTCACCGGGGCGTGGCCTGGAGGGTCTGTCCCCCTCCTCCCTTGACCCCCCTCTGCTTCCCGTCTGCCTGCCTGCCGTGGACTGTTTCTGCCCGCGGCACCCCTCTGCCATGCCAACTACGGACTGACACCTCTATAAACTGCATCCCAGAATGCACCTCTCCACCTCTAGTGCTGCCTCAGCTGTGTGCTGATATCGAGAAGCCACCACCGAGCCACCAGCCTGTGCCATGGCCACAGGAGCCCATGCTCCATCGTGAGGCTGCGTCCCCACACAGAGCCCCTCGTGCATGACTGGGGACGCTGGGGTGGGGACTCCTGTGGGTGCCCAGGGGTGGCAGCGGCAGGACGCTGACCTGATGGGCAGCCCCCGATCTGCAGATGCCTTGCTCTATCTGTGTGAGGGCCCTGCTGTGGAGTGGGCACAGCCCCAAGGGCCCCTCTCCCACCCTGCCTGCGGGCGCCCCCCTGGACCACACCACAGCCTGACTCTGGGACAGCAGGACAGCCCTGGACACCCCCCCCCAGCCTGGGCACGCACTGGTGATGCCCATGACCCGCTCGTAGGCCTCGAAGGTGAGCAGCGGCTGGGGCAGCTCCCGCAGGAAGGTCTTCAGGATCACGGCCGGGACGTGGATGTCCCCGTAGTCGTCGAAGTTCACGGGCTTCCCTGTGCGCAGACACAGACGCGGCTGAGGCCCGGCCTGGGGACCAGCCCTCCCCTCCCGGAAACAGGGTGCTCTCTCTTTCCGGCCAGCCCCAACCCTCCCCCTCTTCCCAGGTGCCTCGGACTGGGGGGAGAGCTACTGATTCCCTCGTGGGCCGGTCCTGTCCCTAAGGAGGGTGCGAGCTCTCTGGGGTCAGAGTCCTGGCTCTCAGCGTCCCTCGGTGCCGGCCAGGAAGACGAGCGCCCCGAGGGACTGCAGTGACAGCGCCCCGAGCTCACGGGCCACCTCCCCCAGCTGCAGGGGTGGGGTGGGGGCTGCCTGATGAAGACCCCGCACAGGGAACGCCCCCCTTCAGCGTGTCAGGTACATCCCGTGTCCACCCCGTGAGTGGAGGAAGCTCAAAGGCAAAGCAGCCCTGGTCGCCTGGCCCCCACTGGCTGGGGGTCTGGGGGAGGGAAGGCCCTGTTCTGGACTGCGAGGTGGGCACCACCGGCCACCCCGGCAGCCGCCGCCCTGGGTTTTCCTGGCCGACTCACCTTGATCCAGGAGCCGCTGCACCAGGCGCACAGTCTGGGCGCTGGCCGACCTCCGGAACAGGCCTTCGGTGTGCAGGCCTGCAGGGAGGGAGCCGAGTCTCGGTGCCAGCACCCAGGGCTGGAGGAAGCTCTGCATCTTGGGGCTGGCAGCACCCCACCTCCCCTTCACTCCGCTTTTTCTCAGGCCCCTAAATCCTTCCCAGTCCCTGCCACTTCCCTCTTCCCCAGAGGAGGTGCTAAAACCAGGCCACCTAGTGACCCTCCTGCCTCAGCCTCCCAGAGTGCTGGGAACATTTTATGATCACACACGATGGCCAGGAAAATGGAGCACCAGTGGCTGGCAGCTATCTGTGTGCTGCGGCCTGGGACCCGCAGTCCCCGTGTCTGCGCACCCTGGCATCCGGGGCTCAAACTTGGCAGTCAAAGGCTGCTCCTGGGTCAGAGCCTGCTGGCCTGGCCCGGCCCGGCCCCTCCTGACCCCGCCCCCTGCTGACCGCCCTCCTGGCCTCCCCCTCATGGCCCCGCCCCCTTGGTCCCCGCCCTCCCCCTGCCCCCTCCTGGTCCCGCCCCATTCAACCTCCTTGGCCCCACCCCCTCCTGGCCCCGCCCCTCCTGGCCCCGCCCCTCTCGCCCCCAAGGCCTGAGCAGGTGAGCACGTTGGCCCTCAAAACTGGGGCCGGTGCAGCTCTCACCTTTCTCTCGCAGGTAGGTCACAGTGAGCCTCAGCACCGGGGGGATGAGCTCACCTTGATTTTTCTCTTTGAGGCTGGAGGGAGAGAAAAGGCGGGTTACACTGGGCTCCATGAACATGGGCTCCTGGTAAAGACACCCCCTGAGTAGCTGTCCAAAGGGAGAGCAGCAGCCTCGGTTCCCATGAAGCGACCAAAAGAGAGACTGAAACAAAAAACTGACGCCCCAGCATCAGAACGCCATCCTTATGCAAGTGAGGAGTGGGCAACTTCAGAGTGGGGTTTTGAGGGATAAGGAGGAGCCTACAGAAGACGAGAGAAGGCAGGCCCAGTTAGGAACGTGCTCAGAGGAGCCCCGAAGCACGAGAAGATGTGCCAAGTGGGAGCACAGCAGAGACCTCAGCTCAAAGCATACCTGATAGAGACCCGGCCTGAGGTCCAGGAAGCAGTCCAGGTTTGGGGGCACTGCACCCCGACACCTAACCAACTGGGCCACAGAGCAGGATGACAGTGTGTGACTGCTGACGGGGGAACCTGTCCCCACCTCGTGTGATCGCCTGCACGCTGACCCTGGGCAGGCCGGGGGATGCCCTCTACAGGCTGGGCACAGAGGGAACCCACACCGCAGCCAAGCGGCATGGCCAAGGCCTCCCCAGGCCCCCAACAGCGGGTCCCAGACAGAGGCCTCACCCGGCCTGGTGTCAGGTGGAGAGACCCGGTGGGCTGAGTCCTGCCTGGCCTGTGCACCCCATGAACCCCCACAAGAAAGGAGCACCTAGTTCCAAGCACAGTGGTGCACGCCTGAGATCCCAGCACTCAGGAGGCTGAGGCAGGAGGATTGCTGCAAGTTGAGGCCAGCCTGGGTTTCACTGGGAGACCCTGTCCCATGAAACAAATTAATAAAAGCCAGCACAGGACCACCTAGCACCCTCCTCAGGCAGATCAGAAAACCCAGGTCCTCTGCCCTTGGCGGGGGTGGTAAACCAGGTATGTACCTCCCGTGGCTGGGCTGGAGCCCAGGTTGGGTCTCTCCTCCCTCCAAGCTCACACAGAGGCTTGTGGGGTGCAGGGCAGCACTGTGGGGTGAGTGTGGAAGACCCCAGGGATGGGGTCGCCAGGGAGGCCTGGACCCCAACAGCCACACAGAGAGCTCGGCGGGCTGAGGGCCTGCTGTGCTCGAGTGGTACCAGGGCGGGCCAGTCTGTGGACGTCAGAACCGAGGCCCAGAGGGGAGACCTCTGCACCTGCAGCCGCACGGCCTGGGCCGGCGGTGGCTGTTGGTGTCACTGAGAGCTCTACGAGGTTCGCCACCACTGGCCTCGGGCCACACGTGCTCTGTGGTCACCTATTCTGGTCACAGGGGTCCGGCTCCAGCAACAATGCTAATCCACAGGTGAGGGTGGCACCTGGTGACTGGCACACCTCCCACTGTGGCCATACGCATGGGTCCAGGGACACTGGAGCCATCATATGCACGGCACAATGGTTCCAGCGCATCAGAGGCAATTCAGGGACAGTCCCGGGCCGGGGACACAAGACCAAGACCTGCACGTCCCCAGCACACACAAAAGAACGAAGCCAGACCCTACTGCAGGTGCAGAGACCCACTCAGATGGGAGGATTAACCCCGACAGATAGCAGCAAGGACAGCCACAAGCCACAGATCAGGAGAAAACACGGCAAACCGTACCTTATAAGGACCAAGTGCCCAGGCTACAGAGAACACAACTAACCACAAAGAGGCAAAGAGCACAAATAAACAACGGGCAGAGGGTCCAGATATACAAACAGCCACGAGCACAGGAAAAGATGCTCGACGCTGTTATCCCAGAGGGGAACACAAATCAAAATGCCAATAAACTACCATCCCCCCACCACACCCAGAATAAAGAAGAGAAATAACAACCAGTGTTGGTGACGACTTGGGGAAACGGGTGCACTTATGTACCCAGGTGGGAATGCACCACGGGAAGCCACGTGGCAGATCCTCCAGGGTTCACTCAGAGTTGCCATGGAGCCTAGCAGCCCGCATCCAGCATGCACCCAAGAAGAGGGAACAGGTGCACACAAAGCCTGGTGTGTGAATGTTCATGCCACTGTTGTTCGTAATTATGAGACAGTGGACCCAGCTGTGCCCTCATGAACTGACTAGTGCATAAATGGAGTCTGGTCCGTGCACATGCCAGGATGGGTTCAGCCACGTGGCAGGCGCACTTTGAAAATACGATGCCAGCAAAAGAACAAGGCCTGACATGGCCAGGGATGTGAGACTCCAGCCTCAGAAGGCCTAGAATAGGCCGGACTGGGGGCGCGGAGGAGACTGATGTTCTTTTTTTTTTTTTTTTTTTTTTTGTCTTTTTCCTTTTTATCGGTACCAGGGATCGAACCCACGACTGCCTGCTTGCAAGGCAGGCGCTTATGCCGCTGAGCTAAACCCCCAGCCCCGAGACTGATGTTCATCAGAGGCTGCTAGTAGACTTGGATTTCTTCAGGGGTGATGGGAATGTGCCGGAGGGAGGTGATGGTGGCACCGGTCTGCGAGGGCATGAAAATCACAGCATTGCACGTATAGATAGGAAGAGAGGAAAAACAGTCCCAGGCCGCACAGGGCCTGGTCCTATTGTGGGAGGATCTCCAGGTGGTCACTGAATGCTTCCCTGTGCCTCCCGGTTGGGATGATGCAGCGTGTGTGTGTGTGTGTGTGTGTGTGTGTGTGTGTGTGTGTGATGCTGGCACACCAGGAGCAGCACACATCCTGCTGGAGGAGGCGTGGGGAAGGACACAGGAGAGCCAGGTGCAGGACCAGCTCCTGCCATCTGCATGTGCTGTGATTGGTCCCAGACCCTGCGAGGTGGGGAGGACGGGGCCTCACCTCCAGTTACAGAGAGAGGAAGGGGGCTGAGGGGGCAGTGACCAGCGGGTCTTCCGGAAGCTGGAAAGTACCAGAGCTGGGGCGTCACCTACCCGCTATGCTAAGGAGGCTCCATCGCTTTGTGGGACCCCTCAGCTGCCCCAGGGGACAAGGCTGCCCGTGGGGACGGACGGCAGGTGAGGCCCCTTGTGTCTCTGTCCTGCACGCACCCAGGCCGTTTGCTCGCTCCAAGGCGGTTGTGCTCTGTCGGGCACCTTTGGACTTGGCTCAGCAAATTAACATTTGTGAATAGGGCTCGGCTATGAATCTTAATGACCTTCACTCATTCCCAGTCCAAACAAATTACAGATCGGGCGCTTTATTTAATATGCTTATTGCCATTTTATTACAGTCATTGGCAACGAAACGGCATAAAATATTAATTTAAAGAGGCGATCACACAGATTCCCTCTCAAAGTGGCGCACACAGATTGTGTCTCAGCCGTTACCCGAGGCTTCCCATCCTCCAGAACGAGATAACGAACTAGGTTTGTTTCAGTTTATTTTTTCGGTGCTGAGCGTGGAATCCTGGGGCTGGGTTCTCAGCACCCAACTGGGTTTTGGTTTATTCTATTTTTTTGCAATACTAGGCATGAAACCCAGAGTCTTCCTACTGGGCTACGTCCCTGGCCATCTCCAGTCTTTACTTTTGACCCAGGGTCTCACTAAGTCCCTGGGTAGCCTGGGCTGGGCTGGAAAGTGTGATCCTCTTGCCTCAGCCTCCCCAAGTGCAGAGATTACAGGCGCTGGCCGCCAATCGGCTCCAGCTCTGTTGGTTTAGTGAGCTGGTTTTGCAGAGGCGCAGGTGGCCCTAGACAGGAATGGACTGCAGCTTGGCAGTGGTGACCGCAGGAGCCCTGGGGGCAGTGCACAGTGCGAGACCCGCGGTGTCCCCATGGGAGGATGACACAAATGACCGGCCGGCCTGGAGGGGGAGGCACAACCTCTGCCTACAGTGGTCACCAGGCCAGTGGTCATTGGGTCCAGGTCTTTGGGCTTGTCGGGTTAGGGTTAGGTTTCCCTGTACCGTGTCAAGCTGGGCCGCTGGTGACCACGGACGTCCCGGACACAGGCAGGTCCCTGTTTGAGGGACGGGGCGGCTGCCGGGCTCACTTACTATTGCAGACTGACGCCGAACTGCTGTGTGGGCAGCGGTGGCCGCGGTGGTGGCGTCTTGGCAGGAGGGGGCCGCCGGCCATGGTGCAGGCCTCGGAGCTTCTCGTCATACCTGGGACAGGACAAAGGTGAGGTCACAACCTGGAGGACACCAGGCCATGGGGCAACCTTCACTGCCACACGCTGATCGGTCGCTTCCGGACGGCCATCCTGGGGGAGGGGGAAATCTCTCTCATACACACACACATGTACACACATGAACTCCTATACACCCTTGAACGCCCCACTGTCTCGGGGCCATGCAGAAGGCCAGGAAGTGCAGCCCAACCAGCGCAAATGGAGCAGGTGGGGAAACTGAGGTTTAGCTGGTTCTGGGCCCCAGCCCCTGCTCAGGAGCTGGGACCCCGCCCTGATTCCAATCCTCCCCTCAGCCTTGGTCCCCTGCACCCGCTGGGCTTTGGGGTTAAGTACCACCTCGAAGCTTCCACCACAGGTTGGATTAGTGACCCTGATGCCCGAGCCTAGTCCCTCCTGACCCACAGGACCTGTGCCCTCAGTGTCACCCCAGCCTGTCCTTCCACCATCACTTTCATAGGCAAGAGGGCCTGAGCCTGGCCCTGGTCACCAGATCTGATCGTTCCCACTGGAAAGTCCCCAAACACACTCAGCCCCAGGTGACTGGGGTGCAGCCTGGGAGTGTACGGGGGTCCACGGATCTCCTTGTCACCCCCAGGGCCTTAGGGTCCAGCTCCCATTCCTCAAGGATGCCTGCCCCTGCCTGAGATGCTCTGCTTAGTCTCACGCCTGCCCACGTCCATGGAAACCACCCTCCTGGCCTCCTGACCCGGCCAGTGGTCCCTCCCTACCTCCCTTCCTTCCTTCCTTCCTTTCTCTCTCTCTCTCTCTGTTTCTTTCTTTTTTTCTCTCTTTGTCTTTTTGAGACAGGGTCTCGCTGTGCAGTTCAGGCTGGCCTCGAGCTCACTTTGTAGCCCAGGCTGGTCTCAAACTCAAAAAGACCCTCCTGCCTCAGCCTCTGAACTGCTGGGATTAAGGAGTGAGCCACCACACCCGGCTCTAGTGGGCCCTTTCAAATGTACTTCAGGACTCGCCTCTTCCCGGAAGACTTGCAGGATTTCCTCTACACCCCGGTGCCCTCCCCATCTGGGTGGACGGCCCCCTGTGGCCCTGACTTGTGGACCCCGCTTCCTGCACTTCCGCATCCTCATCATGTCGCGCGGCCTCCAGAGGGGGCGCCACCCACATCGGGCTCAGAGCCCTGCGCCCTCCAGCAGGGAGGCAAGGGGGGGAGGGGTGGCAGAGACCCAGGAACTGACCCCCGCCCTGCTGTGTGGCCAGGACCCCGCCCCGCCCAGCTGCCCCTCCTAGACCCCCGCATTCAGGTGACAGTAAAGAGCCTGAGACGCGGGAGGGCTGCTTCCCGGGACCCCGCGACGCCCGGGAACATTTCCCTGCACACGAGGTGTGACCCACGGGCCTGCGAGCTCCCCTCCTGCTGGCAAGCAGAACCTGAAACAGAGCCAGGAAGCCGCGAGGAAAACTGTGCCGCCCGCACGCGGCCTTGGCCCGTGGCACCCGTGGGGGCGCTGAGACCTCGGGTCCCAGAGTGGAGGCAGGAAGGGCCCGGCGCAGGGCTGCAGGTGGGGCCTCAGCCAGACAGGGTTGTGTCTAGGGACGCTGCGTGGGTGAGGAACTCCGTGGGTGGGGGAAACCGCGTGCCTGGGGGACACTCACAGGTGGGGGAACACTCGTGGGCCTGAGGACACCTGTGGGTGGGGGACACTCCTCGGGTCTAGAGATACTGGTAAGAGTCACCATGTGGGTAGGTATACGCGTGGGTGGGGACAACGCGTGGATCTGGGGACATGCATAGGAGAGGGACACTCCGTGGGCAGAGGACACTCGTGGGCGGGAACCACCGTGTGGGTGGGGGCGCTGCGTGGGGAGGCACTCGTGGGCGGGGACACTCACCGCAGCACCTCCTGGGGGACAGGCAGCTGGTCGCACTGCAGGTGCTCGCGGAGCTCGCTGAGGTAGCTGAAGTAGGTGACCTTCTTCCCGAACTTGTGGCTGAGAAAGCGGAGCCGGAGGAGGAGGGTGAGGGCGGCAGAGGCGGGCCGGGGCTCTGGGGGGCCAAGCGGGCGCTTCCCGTTTTTCACGGTGAGAAAATGGGGCAGAAGGCAGCGGCGGGGCCGCAGACGCCGGAGCCGCGCACCGCGTGCAGGTGAACAGCCGCTGCGGGCGGCGGGAGGACCCGCACGGATCCCGGAGGCGCGAGCACAGGAAACGCGCTCCGCGTGGGGACCCGAGAAGGTCGGGCAGCTGCAGTGGCCGAGGTGCTGCCTGCCCCTGCCACGTTCCTGTCCACGTCTGACCATGTCCCCCAGGAAGCCAGACGGCGGACGAGCCTGGGCCCCACCAGCAGCTCCAGCCTCGACCCTCCCCCTGCCGAGGTCAGGGTCCCCTCCGGAAAGGGGGACAGGGGCTGTCCCCCCGGGGCAGACGAGGGACAAAGTGCAAGCGCTTGCAGGACCCAGTCACTCCCTCTGGTGACAAGGCCCCGTGTGAGCGCGGTGCGGTTCCCTGCGCGGCGCACTCGCTGCGGCTTGATTGCACTGAGCTGCGGAGCAGCGCAGCCTCCGCTGCACGGCGCCAGGCGCAGCCACGCACTCTGCAAAACCACGCACACTCTGTCGCTGTTGGAATAACCTGCGAGTGTTGCGGTAAGTATTCGCGAGTTCTAAATGCTTTATGTGCTGTGAAATTAAAACGATCCAATTCACCATCGGAAAAAACCCCAGAGCCCACCCGGCCGGGGACACAGCTCTGCGCCCAGCGCCTGCGTGGCAGAGGTGCGGTCAGGAGCTCGATCCCCGGTATCCAAACAAAACTCCTCAAAATATCAGCCGCCCAAGATGGAGACGTCAGTTACGGCAAATGAGAGAAAAACTCAGCTCAGCCCAGCGTGGGCCCCCGCGATGGCTCAGGTCCTGCGCAGGCTGCCAGGGGATCCCCACCTCCGTCTACCTCAGACCCCGGGGAGGCAGAGTCGCGTGCACCGGCGCCCCCTAGTGTCCAGGCCAGCAGGCTCCATCTTGTGAGTCAGCGGCGTTGCTGCTCTGAGCTTGGCACCCCCCCCTCTCTGCCCGCAGCCCCTCTGGTCCAGCCAGGGAAGCCCTGTATCCCCCCCCCCCCCCCCCGCTGAAGTCCTTATCTCAGCCACATCTGCAGACTCCCTGCTGCCATGAAAGGTGACACAGTCTCAGGCTCTGGGGACTCTGCGTGGACACAGCTGGGGCCATCATCTCCCACTGACCACACCACGGGGAAGGGCTGAAGACCTGGAGGGCCAAGTCAGTGGAAATCCCGAGGGTTGGCATGGTGGCAGACACAGGGATACAGGGATGGGGTGGGACCACGGCTCAGCCCTCAGGAAGGGGCTGCCAGGCGGTGGTAGGTGGTGCAGGTGCCAAATGGCCAGAGTTGTCCCTGTGCTGGGGGAGGACAGGTGCGGGTGTGGCCCCGGCACTGTGAGCTCCCCCGGAAGCCTCATCTGTATGTGGGGTGTAACACCCACCTCCCAGGGTGGCTTGGAGATTCAGAAGCCACGGAGGTCAGTGCCACAGGCCTTAGAGCCACCGATGGTGGCTTTTAGAGGCAACAGGACCAGAGGGCACATAGGGAAGAAGCAGAGGCCTGCGAGGGCCACGAGTGTCCAGGAAGGGGGACCTCGAGGGACACACCGGTCCATGGAGTGGCTTGGGTCAAGCACTTTGTCCCAGAGACGGGAAGGTGATGGATGCACGGCCTCACAGGGGCCACCGCTTCACCCACGTGTCCTAACACCCCTGAGCACACTTGGGCCCTCCTGGACTGAGCCTGTCCTGGGCTGGGCCAGGCCACCAGGCAGGAACCTGGTCTGCAGGTCTGGACACGGCCCCTCAGCCAGGTTGCCCATCACTCCACGCCTGCCACCTGGCCCTGTGAAGTTTGTGGCGACATGTGTGGCCCTGCCCAGCTCCCAAGCCCCTGAGCTCCTGGAGCATTGGCCTTGCACCCTGGGCGCAGGCCATACCCTGCGGCATTGGGCTGTCATTGTCCGACCTCACTGGGGACAGAAACTGTCACTGAGGTCAGCGTGTAGCCCTAGGTCTACAGGACTGGCTGCAAGGAAATCCTAGACTGTAATCCCACCACTTGGGAGGCTGAGGCAGGAGGATCGTTGCAAGTTCAAGACCAGCCCTGGGCTACAAAAAGAGCTCAAGGCCAGCCTGAACCACATAGTGAGACGCTGGGAACAGTATTATTGCAGGCCATGGTCCCGCTGGGAACACCCAGCACCCAACATTTAGGAAAAGCACCATGCAAGTTCCACATCCTTTGAGTGAATCACAGAATCATTGGGAATGCTCAGGGCACCCCAACATAGCTGAAGAATGTGGGGTTCTCATCACAGGAGGCAGAGGGTCAGGGCACACGAGCTGGCCATCCTGGGACTCGGTGCAGTCCCCAGGGGGTGGCCAGGGCGACCCCTCCACAGACACCCCAGAGACAGTGGAGCATGACCCAGCCTTTGCGGGTCCTTACGGAGACACATACCTGATGAGGGGCCGGAAGAGGTTCCACAGGACCTTGATGAAGCTGGTGGGGTGCACCACGTACAGCGCCTTCAGGTTCTTCTTGTACCTGTGGAGGGAACCGCAGGCTGCCTTGGGTCTCGATAAGATCCGGGTAGGGATGCCAGAAAAAAGAACCACAGGAGGGTATCGGGGGCGGTGACATCGCTGGCGCAAAGGCCAGTGATGGCGTGCTACACAAGGGACTTCGGGTGGTGGGGGGACATGAGGCTTCTAAGCTGCCTGCATCCCCACTGCGACCCCCTTCTGGACACTTAGGGCAAGGCCAGCAGACACAGCAAGGAAGGCAGGTGTCCAGCTGGGGTGGGAGCTGGGCATTGGTGTGCAGGGACTCTGGAGGTCACGCTTCAGGCTGGGCCAAGGGTGCAGAGGAATGGGCACAGGATTCTGTACACCCTGCTGCTGGCTCGTCTGATGCCCCCGAGCTGGATGTGGTCAGGGGACAGGACAGGAGCTGCTGGGAGGGGCCTGAGCCCAGAGAGGGACAGGAGGGTGTTGGAGCGAGGCAGCGGTGTAGACTTGGGGACAGAGTGGGATGGCGGTGTAGACCAAGGATCCTGGAGAAAGGGCTGAGTGCTGAGCTGGTGGAAGAGAGAAAGGAGCCAGGACGCCAAGGTGGGGAACAGGGCTAGCGCAGAGCGGGCACGTCCCTAGGGCCCAGGAGCCAGCTCTTGGGGTGAACGAGCAACCTGAATGACAAAGGCTTTGGGCAGACCATCGGCTCGCAGTGGACAGGAGGGCACGTGTCCACACCACCACAAAGGAGCGACGCGGAGGAAGCCCTGCTGCCGTGGACACCCCGCTCTGCCTGCTGCCGTTGGGCAGCCGTCTCAGTGATAACCAAGTCCGGGCTGTGGAGCTTAAAGCTGGCACCTGAGGCTGAGGCGGGCAGGTGCCCTGTGGGTCCAGTGCCCCCTGCTAGGAAGTCTTTCCTCGGGAGCTTTCCCTGCAGGGCTGGGGGTGAGGACTTTAGAGCTGTCCACGGGTACCGCGTCCACCCTTGGAGGCTGTGGTCTGTGCCAGGTGCCACCCAGGCCAGGGTCAGCACCTCCAGGAGGGGTGAGTGGATCTGTCCTTCACAGGAATCAGCTGGCAGGAGATGGGGGGCAGGAGAGGCAGCAGCGGACAGCAGGAAAGCAGGCAGGGGAGCCTCTCCAGGTGAGCCCCATCTAACCCCAGAGCTGTGCACGCCTCTGGCAATGCGGAACTCACTGCCTCACAGGCGTCTACTGAAGACCAAGCCAGGGCCTTCCTCCCACTGCTCTCTGGCCCCCTCCGGCCCAGGTCAAATGACCACTGCTAGAAGTCACCACCTCATGTCTCCCCGCCTGGAGGGCAGCCATGCTGGACCAGGGTGACCACCAGGCTGGTGACCTTTGGTTGTGCCCGTTTGTAAATCACTGCCCTGAACCCCAGGGGCTTCTGCTGCCCTACACGGGGCCTCCCCGTGCCAGCCACCCCTCAGCCCCAGCTCCAGCCACGACCCTGCGAGTCCCACAGCCCTGGGACGCACTTCCGGTCGAACTCCTTGTACGCGCTCTGCAGCCAGCTCAGGGAGGGCTTGTTGCGGCTGTTGAGGCCGTAGTGGAAGTAGACGATGCTGTAATCGTGTTCCACGTGCTGGTCCAGCGTGAACTTCAGGTACCTGTGCAAAGAGCCGCATGTGTCACGGAAATCCCCGTGTCCCCTGGCAGGAGCCACCCACGGTCACATCCAGGGCCACCCACCGACTCTGCCCGCCAGGGACCGAGCTGCTTGCCCTTTGCCAGATGAGATCTGAGGCTTGGAGGTGTTTGGTCCCTTCCTAAGGGGTCACAGCCACGCGGAGGACATGGCAGGGTAAAGTGCGACCCCTCCCCCAGATGCCCACGCCACGGCCTGGACCCTGGGGAGTGGTCTTGTTTATAAGAAGTCTCTACAGGTGTCGGTGGGCTGAAGCCCTCGGGAGGGCCGACCCTGGACTGACCAGGAGACTAAAGCAGCCACAGGTGTCTGCACCGGACAGGCCCGAAGGAGGGATTCATAGGGACAGTGATGTGGCCCCAGCCCGGGAAGGACAGGGTTTACAGACACACTGGAGGCTGGAGGAGACAGGGGACAGGTCCAGCTGGACAGAATGCGTCAACAAGACAGGCTGACTTGAACCCTGGCCACCTGCTTCTTCCGTTGTGAATGGCGCCCACAGGTGACTCTAAAGGAGCCGACCAATGCCTGCATCTGTGACTCCAGAAACCTCCAGCCCAAAGCTGCCCGCAGGGACCACCTCTGACCCGCCTGCCTCCACCACCCAGACGTGCCTGGACCCCTGTTGTGCTGGCCCGAAGCCTGATGGCTTGAAAAGTGGACACCGGAGCTTTGGGTCTTCACATGGTCACCTGTGGATGCCAGGGCCAGTGGGCACAAACTAGGAGCCTCAGCCGGCCAGGCTGGCAGCCAGGGCACAGGTGTTGCACGCTTTGCTGACTGTGCCAGCACCCATGTGAGTGGCCACTGGTGCCAGGGGAAGTGACTGGGTGGCTGCCTCTGACAGCAGCAGGGCCAGCAGCATGGGATGGGAGGAAGATGGTGATGGGACCCTGGCCAGGCAGGAGGCAGGGGAGTACGGGGAAGAGGAGGAGGAGGAGGAGAAAGAAGAAGAGGAGGAGGAGGAGGAGAAAGCTGGAGACCAGGCAGGCTCCTAGGCCCGAGGCCTGCAGCAGAGCCCAGGATGGTGGACCCAGAGCCACCAGGCTGGAGAAAGCTGGGTCCTGCTGGGGCATCCAGTGGTCTGACAGTCATGTGTCCCCACTTGGGGACCCATCTTCAATCTACGTGGCAGTAGCCTTCGCCCCCGAATTCCCACTGTGCTCCCACTGCTGAGCACAGAGCAGGGAGATGGAGAAGCCGGGGTGCGGGGTGCGTGCATGGAGGGCCAGGCACAGGAAGGGGACCCAGCCTTGGGGGACAGGCGGGCACTGGGCTTGCCCTTCTCTGAGGGGTCCTGCTGGGGCCACTGTGACTGAGGTCACAGGAAAGGGGTGCTGGGCAGGTACCTGGGCAGGGTGCCCCACCCCCAACACCCGGGAGCTTGTGGCTGCCCATGGCACTAGACCTGCCCAGCCAGGACCTCTGCGTGACCTCAGTGACGTCACCCCCCAAATATTTCATGACTTCACTGCCCAACTATCCACAACGCCCCTCCCATAGGCTGCGCTCCAGTGATCAAGAGAGGACACTGACTGGGCCTGGACACTGGGTACCAAGTGGCCCCGAGCTGTACAGGAAGAGGCGTGGGGGTGGAGATGGACTGCAGCAGGACCTGGTGGCCTCCCAGCGAGACCTGGGGGCTTCGAGGCCAAGCCCAGGAGGTCTGCGGGTCGGGTCCAGAGCGGAGCGGGTCTGGGTGGGGACATTAAGCCAATCGGTGGCCACAGAGGCCCTGCTGCCCCCCACAAGGGCCTGCACGGCCCCTCACTGTGCCAACAGTGGGTGCGCGGAGGGTGAAGACACCCTGTGGCCATCGCCACATCCTGCCATCTCTATCTCGGGGTCATTTCCTGGCCATCGGGCACCTAATAAACATCCAGGGCAAGGACAACCGTGGTGGTGCCTGCAGGCCCCTGTTCACCCTGCCTAGAGCTGTGTGAGGTGACCCTGGGGGAGACTGGGCCTTGGACAGGTGACTGCAGGAGAGGCTGGGTCCTGTGGCTCAGGAGGGAGGACACACAGAGATTGTGCCGAGCAGACAAGGACACAGAGAAGGGGAGAGGAGGAAGGACCTGCTCTGCAACCCTGGACAGCCGATCTCTATGCGGCCAGCTGCCTGCTGTGTCTTTGGATGTGGTGGCCACAGGACCCTTGCATGGCTCCCGAAGGTGTCCCAGGGAGGCTTTGAAGGAGCAGCACGGTGTATTCTTTGGCTATGGGCTGTGGAGGGCTGGCCTCCCTGCCCAGGACTGGGGGCAGGACTGTCCCCAGCTTCCGAGAGAGGACACTCACTGCTGAAGAGAGACTGGTCAAGCTCAACATTGTACCCGTGGCACAGAAGCCCTGGGGACCCTGAGAGACTCAGCTCTCAAAAGCAGCAAAGGAAACTCAGGGCAGAGATGCTGTGGGGGTAGTGTGACCTGGTAGGTGGGGCAGGGACAGGCCCAGGGACTGGGTGGGGGAGGACTCACTCCAGCAGGCGCTGGTGATTGAGCTCGTGAGAGGGTGGCATCCGGCAGCAGCTGAAGGTGACCACGCGTCTCCCGTAGCAGTCCTCCCCTGCGGGACAGACACAGGCCTGAACCACCACCGCCCTGGCAACCCCTAGGCACACAGGAGGCCCCGGAGGGATGCCAGCAGCGGGGCGTGGTGTGACCCCAACACCCAGGAAGGCTGAGGCAGGAGGAGCCCACATTGGAGCCCAGCCCAGACAATTTAGGAAGTCCTTGTCACAAGAAAAAGAAAAGGGCCAGCGACTTAGCTCCATGCAAAGGCCCTGGTCCTGGGGAAAAATAAAAAACAAAACAAAACAGAAAAGCGTTTGCAGGGCACAGCTGACCTGTGGGGTGGAAGCATCTCCCATTTCACTGAGGGAAACTGAGGCCCGCAAAACCCCTGGGAGGCCGCTGTGCCAGGCCACACCTCGGCTGAGGGCACCTGGGATTTGAATCTAGACAATCTGACCTCAAAGGCTAGGGTCTGGGCGCCCTGCCACCTCCTCGGATGCCAGCCTGGAGGAAGCCGGGGCCCTCCTGTAAGTCCCAACTCTGTCACACAGGAGAGGCCCTGTGCCATGGTGTGCCCTCCCCTGAGTCTGCAGGAGCCACCCTGCCTAGATCCTCCAGTCCAGACTTGTGGCCCCAGAACTCCCTGACAGTCAAACATCTGTTATTTTGGGGTTCTTGAGGAAGGTCTCACTAGGTAGCCCAGGCTGACCTCAAACTCACAGTGATCCTCCTGCCTCAGCCTCTCCGGTGCTGGGATTACAGATGTGTCCCACCACGCCCAGCTCCTACATCTGCTGTTTTAAGCTCCTTGGTTCATGGCACTTTGTCTGGTGGCCCCTTCCTGCCTGCCAGCCAGGAGCCATGAAGTAAGTGGTCACCCACGGAATCTCCCAGACACAGGGTCTGGGGTCCCCGGCACTGCCACCATCAGCGGCTGCCTCCCCGTGTCCCGAGCTGCCTGCTCACTGGGCCATGTGCCCGCCCTCCTCTGTCCTTCCCCCTGTAGTCCACTTCCTTCTGGGCCACTGGGGGCCATCCCCTCTCCCGCCCCAGGCCTCCCCCACCCTGCCTGACCCCCAACTCCTTCCTGCTCCTCCCTGCGACCCATTCAGTCCGGCACAGTGGGTCCGACTGCCATCGATTACAGGAAGCTTAGCAGCACCCTGGGGTGAACAGGGCCTCCGCCTAGAAAGGACTGGGACCATCCAGGGGTAAAGTATTTACATCAGTCCTCGAAATGACAGCACCATTCCCACCCAAGGCTCTGAAAACAGTGTACTCAGCAACATGGGTGTGAGTGCTCCAGGGCCCCCGCCTGCCATCGTCCAGGGGGACAATGTTATTTAGGACATGAAGCTTATTCTGCAGGAGGCCGGAGCCACGCTGCTGTCTGGAACCCACAGGAGTTTTGGTTCCAAGGACAGACGCCATCCCTCTCCCCGGCTCCTTCCATGCTGGTCACTTCCACTCTGCCCGTCCAGCACCATGAAAAGGTCTTGTGCCATCCGTTGCCAGCCCGGGAAACAATCAGACTCCAAAACCCAACAGCAACATAGCAAATAAGAGCGTGAAAAAAGGGCCTGGGGATTTAGCTCAGCAGGCATAAGGGCCTGCCTTGCAAGCAGGCGGTCGTGAGTTTGATCCCTGGTACCGGTAAAAAGGAAAAAGACAAAAAAAAGAGCGTGAAAAAAATGTTCAGCATCTCCGGAGGTTAGAGGAATGCAAATGAAATGGCACCAAGATCCCATCTGGCTGCAGAGAGGAAGGGCGGTCACCAAGGAATCCAGGATAACAAATGCCGTCCAGGCTGCAGGGAAAAAAGAATCCTCCCCTCTCCACGGTTGGCGGTTGGCTGGAATGTAAACCAGCAGGACCACTCTGCAAATCAGCAGGGAGAGCCCTCAAAAACCTGAAACTACACCTTCCATTCCATTCCCAGCCATGCCCCTTTTAGGGATTTTCTTGAAAGAGCTAAAAGCCTTCCTAGCACAGTGATGCAAGCACACCAACGGTTACCACAGCTCCACTCATGGTAGCTAAGTCTCGGAAGTGGCCTCCATGTCCATGCACAGATGGACGGACGCAGACAGTGTGTTTACACACAGTGGAGCTCTCCTCTGCGGTGAAGAAGGACGAACTTGAGCTGTCTCTAGGAAAGGCGATGCACCTGGAGACCATGGCGTTAAGTGAAGCAAATCCAGCTCACAAGAAACCCAGAACATACATAAAGAGCAAAATAAAAAATACAGGAACACAATAGGAAGGAGAGAGGGCTGGAGATACAGCTCACAGAGCCTGCTGGGCAAGCACGAGGTTGTGAGTTCGATCACAGTACTAAAAAGAAAAAAAAATGGAAGTAGAGAGATCTTTTTCAAATGCAAGGGGGAACAAGAGACAGGAAGAGAGGAAGGAAGGAAGGGAAAAAGGATTAAAAAGAGAACTGAAAAAAAAATTAGAAATCGATCTTTTGGAAATGGGAAGAGAAGTAAGGATTGGAGCAGGCAGAGATGGGAAGGGAAGGGACAAGAAACAAATTAAGCGTGTCACACCCGCGGGCCAGTTCTCCACAAGGAATACAGACATTATGGCCTGCAAATATGGACCCATAGAAATGACAGTTCAGCCAGGCACACCTGTAAGCCCAGCACTCAGGAGGCTGAGGCAGGAGAACTGCTTTGCACTCAAGGCCAGCCTCGGCTACACAGCTAGACCCTGTCTAAAAATAAAAATGAAAACGCACACTCACTGTGCAGGTCAGGTTTATTGTCATACCTTTAACAACTGCAAAAGCATAATACCTTTCACACTTGCGTTGGTGGACAATTCTGTGTTCAGGAGGACAAGAACCTAGAACACATCTCCGGAAGGAGTCCTGTACCTCCCCAGAACCTGGTAACCCATTTTGGCAAAGCCAGCCAGGAGGTTATTTGTTCAGCCCAATCAGCACTATCCTCCAAGGCAGAACAAACATACTCCCCCAGTACGTAGGGCTCACAGCTACATGAAGACGGAAGCCCTCACACCCTCAGCAGCCCGAAAAGAATTACAGGGAATTCCGTCCCTCAGGGAGCAACGAGGCTGGAGATCAGGCAGCGGCAAAACTGGCCGAGCGAGGGGGTGGGACTATCAATGAGAGGATCCAGGACGTGAAAGCAAAAGCGCTGGGCTGGGGACCAATCAGAGAGTGCTATCTTCAATTCTTCTCACGAGAATGCAAGCAGGCTTTTGATTGGACCTTAGCTTGCCTCCTGGGAGATAAAGATGGCTGCCATCGGGTCTCGCGCACTGTGGTCTCTTCTGCAGGGACTGTGATCGAGAACCTCAAGGAGACTTAAAAACATGTGGGTTGTAGCTGTAGATATTTACCCTATTAGAAGCTTAAAACAGACTATCTTAAAGTATCTGCTCAAATATTTAAATGAAGATTAACAGAATGAACATACCTTTTTTTTTTTTTTTGTCTTTTTCTTTTTTATCGGTACCGGGGATCGAACTCACGACTGCCTGCTGGCAAGGCAGGCGCTTATGCCGCTGAGCTAAATCCCCAGTCCCCGAACATACTTTTAATAGCTCACAAAAAGAACTCTTTCCCGCTTCCCTTCTGTCGCCACCTGAACCTTGGGTCTGTGTCTCCCACGTCCGGCCCGGCACCCTTTCTCCTTAAGCCGCAAAGGCTCTGCAGAAAACTCTGTCCTCTGGCCCCTCCTGTGTACCCGTGGGTCCCTGGGGCTTCCTTGGATGGAGAACTGTGCCCTTTCGTATCCATCACCTCTAGCAGACGCCAGCTCCTTGGAGGTGACAGCCAATAGTGAGAAGCCTGGTCCAGGGACCTAGAGGCCAGGAGCAGGCCACTGCCTGCAGGAGACGGCAAGCACTGCTCTGGGTGAGAAACCGCAGCTGGTGCCCTCCGTCAGCATGAGACCCGTTTACCCAGGGCTCCGGCCACGCTGGGCTTCTCAGAGCACCCAGCAATGTGGTGACAAGCATGTCCTTGTCCTCTCAGGACACTGGCAGGTTTTCACGGTGGGGCACTGTCCTGGCCTCCCACCCCACCCCCGCTCAGGGACCACACGCCGGGCCTACCTGCCACCTGCAGGATGCCATGCCTGGCCACGTCATAGAAGGAGTGACTGGTGCTCAGCATGGGGTCCTTGTCAGCCATGGTGGCCGCCAGGGGCCTTCTCGGTGCTCCCAGCGCGGCTGCTTCCTCCTGGGGTCTCCGCGGCTCTGCGGAAGGCAGTGAGAGTCAGGGGAGCTCGGTGCTCTCAGAGAAGGGCAGGCCCTCCTGGGTCCTTTGTAAACAGCCGCCCAGGCTCTGCTGCAAGCCCCCTGCATGCTCCTCTCTGCCCGGCCCCCAGGACACACCCAGATCCACCTGAGGTGTAGCCCCGAGGGAGGAAAGGGAGAACCAGGGGCTCAGCTCTGCCCTCATGGCCAGGAGTGGAAACTGAGGCCGAGAGTGACTCGCCCAAGGCCATACTGGCTCACCAGCGTCCCCACACTGTAGGAGCCCGGCTGGCATGGCGCTCAGGGTTTGGGAGGCCTCCAGAGGCTAGGTGCCATGTAACCCCCGACAAGCTCACCACAGGCCCACACCGCGGCCAGAATGGGGCCCCGGATTCAGGCGCTAAAACAGAACCCCCAGTGTATACCAGGTATTTGGAGGTGATCGGCAGCTCTGAATGAAGGGGTCGGGGTACGGCGGGAGTGGCTCAGGCCCCAGACCCACCTGCTCTGTCACCAGTGAAAGTCACGACACAGCACAAGAACCCAGCAGGTGTGTGTGCGGGGCCTGCAGCCTTCCCAGAGCCGTGGGAAGTGCACCTCTGTCCTCCCCTGGGCACGTGTACCCTGGAACACTGAAACGGGCTCAGACAGGTGCAGGAGAGAGCGTGCTCAAAGCCCAGCTGTCCACGGAACCAGAAGAGGGAACCAGCTCCGTGCGCATAAATGGGTGACAGGGCAGCAGAATGCTCGGCGTGCCTGGCCAAGACACGGATGGGAGGAAGCCAGACCTGCCAGGCCTCACACACGTGCAGTGCACATCTGTGTTCCACTGTGGAGCCCTCCCGGCAAGGCCATCGCTCCCTGCATGGTCCCACTGACCGGAAGTGTTCAGAAGACGCAGGCTGGCTAGGGAGGCAGGACTGGGGGACAGGAGAACAGAGAAGTGGCTGTGATAGTACAGGGCTTCCTACTAGGGGAACAAACACGCTCTGGAACCTAACAAAGGCAGTTGGATTGTGCACCTTGAAATGGTTCATTTCAGCTTGGCAGGGTGGTGTACACCTGTCATGCCAGCATTCTGGGAGGCTGAGGCAGGAGGAGGGTGAGTTCCAGCCCAGTGTGGGCACCTCAGCTATTTCACAAGACCCTGTCTCCAAACAAGAAATAAACGGGGGATGTAGCTCAGTGTGAAGGCTCTGGGTTCAACCCCCAGTGTGGAGGAAAGAAAGAACGAAAGAACAAACGAAAGAAAGAGTTAATTTCATGTCACTTTGATTTCACCTAAATTAAAAGAAAATAAAAAATGCTACAGCACAGCTGGACAGAGACAGAGCAAGCTGGACCTCTGGAGCGTCATCAGGACCAAGAACCAGCCCTAACCGGGGCCTCCCAGCCACTACCAGGCGACCGTGAGGTCCCGAGCCAGGCCAGGACTGAATGGGGCACAGCCCCTGCAGTCGGGGCAGTGACCAGAGGGAAAACTACGAGTTCCGGGACACAGCGCTGGACACAAGGACCTGTCGGGGCACCCTGTGTCCAGGTGTGCGACGCCAGGTGGAGGTGGCCAGCTCAGGGCTGCATCCCTGTGGTCTGAAGGTCTCCCTTCGCCAGAGAGCACCCCGGGGAGAGGAGTCCGCACTCCAGGAGGATCAAGGCACCGGAACCGGCACTGTACCCACAGTACCCACGTGACCCCCCCCCCAGATGCCCAGGAGGGCAGCCCTGAGCCGAGGCTTCCTGTGGACTCCACACCTCATAGCCCTCACCCTCCCTGTCTCTCGGAGCCTCAGTTTCCCTACCTGTCACAGGCACTGCAGAGCTGACATTTTCCAGCTGGCCGTGAGCAGGGACTGAGGGTGTGACTCAGCCTTGAACAACCCCAGAGTACACAGACACACACACACACTCTCACACACTCACACACCATTCCTCAGGGATCTCCCCTCAGGGGCCAGGCAGGGACAGGGCCTGGGGAAGGCTGATAGGGAGACCTCCCTGAGCATGGTTTGGGGCCATGAGATTCGATCTTAGAACAGCTGGGCGTGGTGGTGCACGCCTGTCCTCCCAGCACTTTCTGAGGCTGAGGCAGGAGGATTGAGTTTGAAGCCAGCCTGGGCAACCTGGTGACTTAGCATGATTGAAATTGTTAAAAATTAAAAATTTCAAGCAGGTGGTCTTGAGTTCAATGCCTGGTACTGATAAAACGAAAGAAAAAAGAAAAAAAAATTAAAAATTTTAGCAAAGGCTTGGGGAATAGCTCAGTGGGGAGTGCTACAAAATAATTAAAAATTAAGAAAAAATAATAAAGTTCACAGGCCAAGGGTCCCAAATGCAGAATGATCACCATGAGGAGAGAGGGAAGAGTTTGCCGAAGGCACGTGGGGTAAGGGGTGGCCACCGGGGGTGAGACCTCCCCTCCGGCCCTGCCCACCACATGCCCAGCAGGAGGAAGCTGCAGAGGTGAGCCGTGCCCTGGGGTCCAGGCCTACAGCCCTCCCTGGGAAGAGGGCGACGTGCACCATCGTAGCCACCAGCACCCCCGCTCTCTGCCAGTGCGGCACCCACTTTCCCTGTCTCCTCCATGCAAGGACAGGACCCAAGAAGGCCACCCCAGCACCAAGTGACCCCGTGACCCCAGCTGGGCCAGTCATGGTGGCTGTGACCCCCGAGCCACCCTGGGAGAGCTTACAGCGTGTTTCTCCTGCTGGGCCAAACCTGGAGCTGCCCATGGCCACCACACCAAGAAGAGGACATCAGGGCGGAAGCCGGGCTGAGCGACGAGCCCCGGGCCTGCACACCTGGACCCCGCTGCACCCGCCCGGCCAAGCCTCTCCTGCATCAGCGTGCTCAGGTCACAGGGACCTCGCCCTGGACCTCACAGCGTGCTCAGGTCACAGGGACCTCACAGCCTGGGCCTTTCTGCTTGGGAAGCGCCCAGGGTTCACTGCGCCCGTCCGCTGCCCTTCAGGAGACTGACTGAGGGCGCTGACAGGCCTACTGCGGCATAATGAAAGGGCTTCTTCCTTTCTTTTCTTTTTCTTTTTGTACCGGGATTCAAACTCAGGACCTTGTGCCGGCCAGGCCGGTGCTTGTGCTGTATCCCCGGCCTAACAGGTTTATTTCTAAAATAACATTTCCTGGAGGGAATGTGGTTTAAATCCCTGAGGTTTAACACTTGGCAGCTGACCTCGCTCTGTTCCAACACAGCGCTCTGCTGGATGGTGATGGAAAGGGGAGCCACCTCACCCCGTAAGGAGCCGGGGACCCCTGCCCTTCGCCCGAGCAGCTGTGCTCCACGCAGGTAACAGGATCCTTTCCCTGTCACTCCTCACGATCCACAGCTGGATCCTAAACAGCAGAGGCAGTGACAGTGACACCGAGGACTGGGCTGTGAACCGCCCTTCTGCAGCTCCCCCGCCGCTCTCCACAACAGGTCCCACTCTGAGTCCACCTCGCACTCAGTACCAGGCCCAGAGGACTCAGAGGAGGCAGACTGGGGGCCTGTGAGGCACGGGGCCGTCCACCTGGGTCCAGAGGGTGGATGGGGTCCCTGTGTTTCATCCGCTCCAACCCCGAGCCACAACTGTCCCCATTGTAAAGACGAGAAAACTGAGGCCCTGCAAGTGAAGGAAGCCAGCAGCCCGCAGTGCAGGTCACAAGGCCAGTCATGGATGGGGCCCCTCAGCCTGCTCCCACGTCTGCCCAGTGTTCGGGAGCTCCATACATGCCCCAGTCACCCCGTGCCGCAGTTTGCTCATCAATGCTGTGAGTGAGACACCGCCCCTCCCCAGGCTGCACTGTACATGATTCATGTTTGCTAAATAACCCTTAGGAGCCGGGCGTGGTGGGGCACGCCTATAATCCCAGCACTCAGGAGGCTGAGGCTGTGAGTTCCAGACCAGCCTGGGCTACAGAGTGAGCTCAAGGCCAGCCTGACCTGCACAGTGAGACCCCGTCTCAAAAGACCCCTTTGGGGCTGCGCAGTTAAGGACCCCGACAAAATCCGGAAACCTCCTATCTGGTCTCATAGTGCATCAGCATCAGAGGGTAAGCGCCAACCACTGAGCCATGTTTCCGCCACCTCGCCACCATTCGGGGGCCACAGGAAACCCAGCCTGGACACCTGACTCTAATCTGGCCCCTGACGTCCCTCCAGGAGGAAAGGGACACGGCAGAGTCGGGCAGAGGTGGCCGTCAAGTAGAATCGGAGCCAGGAAGGAGTGGGTGAGAGGAGCCGGGCAGACGCCAGCCTCTGGGGGACGAGAGAGTTTCTGTCCAGAGGAAACCGGTCAGGGCAGCTTCATTAAATGAACACTGGACGGGCCGACCGATGGCAGATTCCACCGCGGATCAGGGGCTGGGCCTCCTCCAAGCAGGCAGCGCAGATTTTGTTTAGTGGCTGACGGGAGAAAGGCCGGATCGGGGGCTGGACGGGGTGAGCCGCAGAGCCCAGACAGCTCCGGTCCCAGCCACCTCAGCCCAAGTCCCCAGCCCGAGACTGGGGTGACGGCAGCAACCGGAGGGGACCCAGAGGGGAATCGGGGCCAGGCGCTGTCACCCCGGCGGGTTGGTGTGTCCCCAAGCTTTCCTTGGTGCCAACACATTGGAGACAATGACGGTGCTCACTACAGGGACCCTGGCGAGGCTGGAGGAGAGCAAGAGGGACGGCGAGCTCCCCACTGGGGCACCTCGGGGATCACGCAGGGGCTCCCCACAATGCAGGGTGCGGGCATGCAGGAAGTGGTTATGGGTTTGCCACAGATCAAGTGGCACGGAGGGAACGTGGCCTTCGGAGGACGCAATGTACTCAAAGGACAGTGCCACTAGAATGTCACCATAGCAACAGCCTGCTTCTGTGACAACTTCAGAGGACCGGACGCTGAAGGAGATTTCAGACTCAGAACTTGGCAGCCGGCACCTGGACTCTGGGGGTCACCTCCTCACCCACCTGGGAACAGAGCTGCCAGAGCAGAGGGCTGCTGGCTTCAGGGGGCCACGGG